CCTCATTGAATCATACAGTTGTAAAGGATCCCAAGGGTCATCTAGTCTAACTCCCTGCTATGCAGGATTCTCAGCCAAAACATCCATGGCAGGTGGCCCTCAGAATGGGGAAGACTGTGATCTGATGACCTGGGAGCATTGTCCAGGAGCTAACTGTTGATTGGCACCTTCAAGGCCTCTGATCTCCCTCCTTAGGGTCCTTTGGCTGTGTATACACCATACATTTAAAGTACATTTAAAACAGGACCCTGCCTTCCAAGAATCCTGGGAACTGTAGTGCATCATACACAGAGCTACAATTCCCAGCACTCATAACAAAGTACAGTTCCCAGGGTTCTTTGGAGGGAGGGTTGTGCTTTAAGCATGCTTTAAATGTATGGTGTGCACACAGTTCTTTATCTTTAAAACCAGACTTGGACCTAGCAGCCCTTAAAATAATTATACAAATAGAGGATTACCCTCTGTAAAATAGGACACATGGCCAGCCTAATCCTGCCACAAATATAATGACTTGCACGAAAGCAGAAGATGTTTGCTGAGGTCAAGTTAGCTGTGAGTACAGTGGCAGCTGCAGACATGCCACTGAGATTGCCACTGCCAAACACTTTAGGGAAATATGGAAGTGATTGTACTGAACGGATAGCACAGCACAGCATGGGTGCTAATCAGTCGCTTTCATATTCTCCAAGAAACTTGTGGAAGGCAGCAGTGCACACTGTTGGCAAACACGGCTGCTATGTGATCACTGGTGTTTCGCCACTGCTGTGTGGATGACATGTAACAGGGATAGCTGCTGATTGCAACAACAACAACTTATTCTTATTCTTATTCTTATTCTTATTCTTAATACCCCACCTATCTGGCTAGGTTTCCCCAGCCACTCTGGTCAGCTTCCAACAGAATATTAAAAACACGATAAAACCTCAAACATTAAAAACTTCCCTACACAAAGCTGCCTTCAGATGTCTTCTAAAAATCAGATAGTTATTTATCTCCTTGACATCTGATGGGAGGGCGTTCCACAGGGCAGGCGCCACTACCAAGAAGGCCCTGTGCCTGGTTCCTTGTAACCTCACTTCTTGCAGTGAGGGAACCGCCAGAAGGCCCTTGCTACCATAGGCAAGCCCCTGTCTTTCCGCATAACCTGCGTCACAGGTCTGATGTGAGGCTAAAATGGGGTAGTTTGGTTCCTTGGAGGACGTAGGAGTCTTAAAACAAGGGGCAGATTTTTCAGGGAAAGATGCTGATATAACACCAAGGTTGCAGGTTCGATCCCCGGAAGGGACAGCTGCATATTCCTGCATTGCAGAGGACTGGAATAGATAATCCTCAGGGTACCTTCCAACTCTATGAGTCAAGAGCCCTAGAAAGGAGTGTCCAGATGGAATGAAGCAGGGATGGGGAAGCTTACTAGTCAAAGGTAAAGCTTACATCGGTTGCCCCACAACCTATTGCCCCAGGCACCTCCTGGAGGGGTGTCCAGAAGGGAATGTGACCTTTGGGCTGAAAAAGGTTCCCCTCCCTTTCCAGAAAGCAAAGAGGAACCAAGGTTCTTGTCTTTGTGGTATTTCCAATCTTGCTGCAGCCCTTACAGCCATGCCTGTGATGCAGACACAGTGACTAAGTCTAAGACACCAGAGTGCCTGGAGCTATTGGCAGAGGTGAGGTTCGAACCAGGTGCTCAGTCCCACATTTGCTGAGGTAACAAAGGTGCAGGGGAGCAACACTCGCCACATAGGAGAAGCGAGCAGCGCATAAGACCTATGCTGGTTTGCCAGTTTCCCTGAGCCTGCGGTTCCTCTCTCATTTAGGCTGCACACACCATGCATTTAAAGCCATCCCGAATCCTGGAAGCTGCAGTTTGCTAAGGAAGTGGAAAATGTAAGAAATGCAGTTCCCAGGGTTTTTGGTGAATGTGCTTGAAATATATGGTGTGTACAAAGTCGAAGATGTGTCTAGAGGGAGTGGGTTGTTGGGAAACTCTCAGCTTCATCTCCTAGCAGTTGTGGGAAGCAGGAAATGTCAACATTTTAGTTTATCAGATACTGCTTATTGGGAAAGTCCCATCATCTCCCCATGTGCTAACCAGGCTGCGAATGGCAAAATTGTAGCTTGCTCAAATTACTGTTACACCACATGACTTGAACCGAGTTTGCTTTTGAGGCTGAGCTGTTTCTACGCTCTGGATAACTTGTCCCTTGACCCCTGCACAGGAAGGGGATTTTACGGCGGAGATTTGTGGGCTGGACCCATCTATAATAATGCACATGGAAACGAGCCAATCAATATGGACTCACAGGAGAGGTAAATCTTAGGAACATAAAAAGGTAAATGTAAAGGACCCCTGACAGCTAAGTCCAGTCACAGAAAACTCAGGTTGCGGCACTCATCTCGCTTTACAGGCCGAGGGAGCCCGCGTTTTGGCTGCAGACAGTTTTCTCCGGTCATGTGGCCAGCATGACTGAGCCACTTCTGGCGAAACCAGAGCAATGCACAGAAACACTGTTTACTTTCCTGCTGGAGCAGTACCTATTTATCTACTTGCATTTTTGGCATGCTTTCGAACTGCAAGGTTGGCAGGAGCTGGGACCGAGCAATGGGAGCTCACCCCGTCGTGGGGATTTGAACCGCTGACCTTCTGATCGGCAAGCCCAAGAGGCTCAGTGGTTTAGACCACAGCGCCACCCATAAGAAACTGCTTTATGCCAAGTCTGACCATTGGACCATAAGGCTGCATTCACATGCCCTGGTGAATATTGCATTAGCCTTTGGGAAGCGGACAAAGTTCATGAATTTTCGCTATATTTCTCTTGCCTTAAAAGGAGGCTGAGGGTTTAAAAATGAAATCCCCAAAGGGTGGGGAAGCTCTGGCCCATGGGTGTAATCAGGCTGCACAGGCCTCCATCTTTGACATTCAAGGCTGTTTTAGCCAAGCTACTTCTGCTATGAAGTTGCAGAGGAAAAGACATGGCTGGGCCACGGAGGGCTTTCAGACATTATTAATTGGCTGATTGGCGCCCCCTGCTAAAAGATGTGCTTTGCAAGTGCCAACAATCTGCTGATTGTCACTGGGACTTGCAACATCACTGCCATTTCAAGTGTCCGTTTGGCAGCTCCCGCCATATTTCTGATCAGAAATGCTCCTGGAATCTGAAGGCACTTTCCAGAGACAACCTGTTTAAATACTCATCCAGATTCGATAGACGACTTAAGCTATTCACCCTCATTTGTCTGCCAGGAGGCTAGATGATGCTGTGTCAAAGCAATGGTATCCCACATGCTGTGCCACATTTCCTCACCATTTCCCTCATTGTAAAAGTCCGGTATTTTGGGGAAGCAGGTTTGTTGTGCAATGCCTCCCCCTCAGCTCTAATTGTGCAGTCTGAATTTGCCAGTATGTGTTTGAATCCCACTCAAAAAGAAGTGCAAGCAGGCAGAATGCTGTTGCACTCATGACTTGCTGCCCAGCTTCCTGTTGGCTAATCTGGTTTGTCACTGTAAGAACAGGATGCTGGGATAAACAGACCTTTGGTTCGACCGAGCACAGTTCTTCTTCATGTTCCTGGTTTTTCCCTAGAACCCAAGATCTGCCTGCCGGAGCCTTGTGCACAGTAGTGTCTGCTGCCCTTTGGAACTGGTAGGCTGGAAAGCAGGGAGGCCAACAGTAGATGGCGTCAGAGCCAATGATAGCACAGTGAACTAATTCCAGTTGGAGCCGTAGCTAGGCGATCTTGTGCCCCTGGCAGAACCGTCCAGATTGCGCCTTCTAGCCACTGACAAATTAGCTCTTCTTTCTGCCTCTCCTCCAACCCCCCCTTCAATTCACCCTCTATTTAAAACAATTTCTTATGAGGCAATAATCGATATTTATATTTATGGACATTTTTTAAAGCCAATTTTGCGCCCCTCCCCATCGCCTGCGCCCCTGGCGAGGGTCCACCTTGCCACCCCCTCGCTACGGCCCTGATTCCAGTCTTGTCCTCTTCCTCCTCCCTGTTGAGTTCCAACACTGATATCAAGGAGGAAGAAACTGACAGCCATTGCCCCTCTGCTGGTTGTAAGTACAAAGGCAGGAAGGTAGGGGCTCTCTGAAGGCAGAGTGAGGCTTGTGGGTCTTTACTTGCTGGTGCAAAAGACATGCACCCAGACATCCAAAATCCTGAGCTCAGGAATCTCCAGAAGTGAACATTGCTCACAGTTGTTCCACATGAAAATATGCCCCCTCCAAAGCTTTCTTCATTGCAGCAATATAATTCTGGGGTGATATATGTTGTTTTGTTCAACACTGGGAGTCGGAAATCCATGCTGATCTGTTTGACATCAACCAGATATCTGCCATTCATCCCCAGTTTTACCTCCTGCTGCAGCTTTAAGCTGTGGCCCTAAGAGAGCTGCAGACAGCTGTGACTACAGCAACGATTGGGGAACTATTTTCATTCTGAGGGCTGCATTCCCTTCTGGGCAACCTTCCAGGGGCCACATGCCAGTGGTGGGTGGGGCCAGAGGTAAAATTGGGCAAAGCAACCAATGTCCATTTCACCTTTGTGCAGTGGGCTAGTTTCTGCACGCACTCTCACACATCTTTCCACAAATTCAGCTAGATCCCGGTTTCCCAAATTTGGGTCCCCAGCGGTTTTTGGACTCCCATCATCCCTAGCTAGGAGCAGTGGTCAGGGATGATGGGAACTGTAGTCCAAAAACAGCTGGAGAACTAAGTTTGGGAAACACTAATCTAGATAAACAAGAGGCATCGTCAGAGTTCAAAGACACATAGGAACCAAGCAAAGTCTTTGAGGAGAGTGTGAAGGAGGACTTGTGAGTTGGGGTCCAGCTAGGAAGCTGGGTGAGGTGTGGGAAGAGTCCCAAGGGCCACCTTGGGAGGATTAGAGGGCCGCATTTGGTCTGTAAGCCTGAGGTTCCTCAGCCCTGGGGCTACAAGATTAGGACCAGAAGATCCCCCGTCCTACTTACAAAATTCGTTTGATGTCACTCTGTTATTTTTCTGTTCTTTTTTTATTTTTATTTTTTAACTTTTACAAAGCCTTAGGAACAAAGCTGAAGACGTGACCTTGGGAGAGTGGCAATGGTTTATCTCTCACACTTTCAAGATTTATTTACATTGCCCACAGCGGCTCTCAAAGCAGCTTACAAAACATTCTCACAAGACAATTGCATCCAAGGAGAGGAGGATGAGCAGAGCTCACAAGTACAGACAATAAGGCACCTGATTATGATTATGTAGTGCGCACGGCCTTCCAAGTCACATGCTGGCGACGAGGCTGATCATGAATCTTTAAAGCAAATTTGTCCATCTAGTATATATTTTCACCAAAAGCACAACCAGCTTCTATGCATTGAAAACATGCTACAGCAGCCTTAATGAACACCGGGGCCGACAAAACAAAGCAAAGGGCTGCTGCCCATTGGGGCTGATAGGGTGGGCGGCAGGGAGTTCAACAGCAGGGGGCACCAGAGGCAACGACAGGCAGAGCCACAGCTAATGCGAGGCAGAGCCAACTAATTCTAGTTTTGCCTGCTCCATCCTCCCCATACAAGAGCAATGCTGAGGTTAATAGGGGAGAGAGCCAATAATAAACCCAACCCCCTTGGCTGGATGTAAGTAGCAAGGCAGGCAGGTGGGTACTGGCCAAGGGCAGACTATGGTTAGGGGGGCACTGCTTCACTCACACCAATGGAGCAGCTGCCGCTGAAACAAAGTCCTGCGTAGCGGGGCAAGAGAGCATCAATTTGTGGTATGAGATTTCAAGTGACGGGCAGCTGCATGTCCCAGGTTTTGCCTGCGAAATACTGGAGAGCCTGGGTTGGAGATCAAGGGGAGCTTTGGCAGAAGGACTGGGAACAGCCCAGGAGAAGACGAGGAAGACTGGTAGTCCAAAGAAAGAAATCTGAAATGGGAAGGAAATTGGGCAGGAGGGGGGGAGGGAATGTAGGCTGGAGAGGAGGAGATCTGAACCCATTTCATGGCGTTATCACCGGCAACGGTAGATCAATGCAGTGGTTTTGCAGCATGTGTATAATGTGCTGGTGAGGACTTTAGCAGGGCAAGAGCGGAGGTTGCTCCACACTCCACAGTGAGGGTCTGCTGTCGTGGATCGTGGCACTGTCACTGAGATACAGGAGGTGTGTAGGTTTGCAGGATCCCCCCGTTTCCAAGTCTAGTTAGCATTGGTTTATTGGTTTATGTATTCATTTACTATTGTAAATGTATATCCAATATGATTCATTTTGAAGTTTTGCCATTTTATATTGATTCATTTCTGGTATTCATCTTTATTATTTTTATTTGTGTGTGTGTGTGTGTATGTGTGTATATATATATACACACACAGTGCTTTTTTCTAAAAAAATGTTTAGGGGTACTCTCATTTTGACTCAAGAATATCACAATTTTATAGTTCAAATCGGGGGAAATAAACACAGTAAATGGACAAAAGTACAAAGATTCACAACATGTTTAGGGGTATGCGTACCCCCAGAAAAAAGTTCTCCCTCTCTCTGTATATGTGTGTGTGTGTGTGTGTGTATGTATGTATGTGTAGATAGATAGAGATAGATAGATAGATAGATAGATAGATAGATAGATAGATAGATAGATAGTGCTAGGAAATGCTGCTCCCCTTTACTGATTCTTTGTTATTGTTGTGAGCTATTGTTGTTGGGAAAGTGGCATGCAACTATAAAATCAAATCAAGATGACTATAGGCAATCTCCAGCCATCAGATGTTTCAGTGCATTTGATCCTCAGTGCTGATCAGTTTTCCTCTTCCTATTTTGGTTTGGGATCTTTGTGTTATTGTGCAGCTGGATCACACACAGTACCCATCTCTTGATGTGCAAAGCCCCCCCCCCCACTAAATCTACCAGAAAGAACATTCATATCACCTGATATCACCTCAAATGCAGTCCTATGCAGTTCACATCTTCTGTTGGTCCTTGAGTGAAGTGCATAGACATTTCATGGTGTGTGTGTGTGTGTGTGTGTGTGTGTGTGTGTGTGAACCAGCCTGTAGCACATCTCTTTTTTCTTTTTGGGGGGGACTGATTCAAAAGGGCATGACATCAGAGGAGAATTTCTCTGTGCGTGAGGGTAGGATGGAGAGAAGGGGAGATCTTTTAGGATATGCACACCGTGTCACACATCTTCAAGGGTTTTGTAGCTCATAACTTCTTGCCTTAAACATAATCACAGTTAAGATGATATACAGACATATGAATGTGAGCCCCGCCCCGACTGCCAGGTGGGACAAGAGCTGCGCTGTCCGGGAATGCTGCCGAGCGACTGTTCCGTTTCCAGCAAGGTTGGCATCGCGAGTCTGGGGAAGAAGAGAGAAAATCCATGAAAAAAATGCAACTAGACACCTTGTCTGGAATGCAGGCATGGCTGGTAGCTAGCAAACAATCCTTTTGTCTCAGGCTGTGAGGCACTAACCAATAGCCAACAAATTATCTTTGTGATTATATGAACTTGCTGTTCCAAAACATATCTTTTGTAATGTTTCCGTAAACCTGTTGGCTGGTTTATCGGGTTCCCATATTTCAAAAAGTAAAAACCAGGATACCCCCCCAAACTGTTGAGCCTTTTAAAGGAAATAAATGTGACTGACTTACCTAAGATCCCAGGACAAAGCTCTGTATTTCGGAAATCCCCACCCCACGCCACGGGACATCAATTCTGCCTTTGAAATCCTGGTAATGTCAAAACAACTGGCAGCCCTGGTTTATATGTATTCTTTTAGAATTAGTTAGCTTAATCATAGTTACTATTTCGATCCATTCAGATTGCAGTAGCAGATCTGCTTCCCTCACAGTTTTTAGCTGTTATAATCTTAGCAGCAGTTATAAGGTGGAACACTATTTCTTGATCGTTTCCCAGAATAGCATCATTTAGATCACCAAGTGGGGATGTTTTAGGTTCCAAGGGCATATGATATCCTAATGTATCAGAGATGGATATGGACATGCATGGATTTCCAGAATATTTCTATCTGAGAGCAATTCCAAAAGATATGTATGTGATCTCCTTCATTTAATCTACATCTCCAACAAGAGATGTTGGAGATGTTTTAAACTGTTCTTAGCATTGTGGTTTCATTGTTGTAACCCATTCGAAGACCTTAGGGTGAAGAGCACATAATAAAATAAATTATAGTTGTAGTCAGTGCTGGATTTACGTATAAGCTAAACAGAGCCTCTGGCAGTCACTATTGGGAATACTGAGCTGGATAAATCAATGGTCTGACTTGGACAAGGCAGTTTCCTATGTTCCTAACCAGATGGTTTAAGACTGGAACCTAGCAGAGCACAACAAGACTCAGAGCTTGGGCTGTAGGCTCTGACTGAGTCTCAGAACTGGACACTCCTTTGGGTTTCTGCAAACACAGTCTGCACACTCATGAGATCTATTCATCAGCAATTTGGACATTATTGACTTATTCAGAGTAACGATGTGTTGTAAACAAAATCTGCCCTTCTTTCCTTATGGGGTATCCAAGAGCTTGTATAGAGTCCTTAAGTGAGTTCCCTATCGGTAGGAGAAAATAACAGAGGCCAACCAAAGAATATTGAGAAACAAAGCAGCTAGTAAGCCTGATCTTTATTAAAGCTGTTGCAACAGGGTGCTCCCCTCACCCGCAGGAAAGGAGGAGGACCCAGAACAAAGGTGTGCCTGCCCTTATTTTAAGTTCTCTGCCCTGGAGCTCAAGACCACCCCTCCATACATCATACCTACATCACAGAAGGGGTGTAACCTAAGACCACCCCCCACAAAACTTCATGCCTACATCACAGAAAAGGCGGTCTACAGCATAAATTTGAATGTTGTTGTTTTTCCTGTCTGCCTTATCTGATTGCCTTTCCTGGTAGTCTGCCCATTCCTTTGAGATGGTGATTACCCAATTCCTGAGACAATGGAGAGGCTCCCTCACCCCCTCCCTCCTCGCAGAGAAAACATTTGGTCAGTTTGGGAGTCAAAATGGTTTCTGGTCGGTCTTCCTGTGCTGCTCCAGACATGTGGTCTACATATCTATGTACGTGCTTGGTTGGTACATTTATGAACATTTATTTTATATATATAAGACCTTAATTTTTTTTATTACATGATGTATGGATTATCTAATTAATTAATCCTCCCCCGAGTCTGCTGTGCCTTTTATTCTCCAAGTATGATATCAACCCACTTTTCCAGTTGTAAATGGGGTTACTGAGGTTTGCCAGTTATATGAAAAAAGCTCCTGACTTTGCTTGGTCGGATAATCTGAAGAGGCAACTCCTCCCCCTCCCCCAAGTCACATCAGTTTGAACCGGCTGAGATTTATGCTGCCACAGACTTGGTTGCACCATCAGCCACAAGCTTATCTGGATCGCCACAATGATCAAACATACCCATCAGTTGTGCAACAATGCTACTGCTAGTAATATCAGTCAAGGCGCTATGCTTCTATAACCAGTGTTTGATTTACCAGTTCAAACAGGCCATCTGCTATCTGTTTCCAAGGACTATCAAGGTAAGGGTCTTGTGATTAAAAGTTCCTTCCATTGTGTCGATCTATTTGCTCTGCAGTGCAGCATAGGTTAAGATTTTGTTCTTCCTATCAGTTGCAATAAAAAGGTACAGGTACCCCTGCCCGTACGGGCCAGTCGTGTCCGACTCTAGGGTTGTGCGCTCATCTCACTTAAGAGGCCGGGAGCCAGCGCTGTCCGGAGACACTTCCGGGTCACGTGGCCAGCGTGACAAAGCTGCTCTGGCGAGCCAGCACCAGCACCAGCGCAGCACACGGAAACGCCGTTTACCTTCCCGCTATAAAGCGGTACCTATTTATCTACTTGCACATAGGGGTGCTTTCAAACTGCTAGGTGGGCAGGAGCTGGGACCGAAAGACGGGAGCTCACCCCGCTGTGGGGATTCGAACCACCAACCATACGATTGGCAAGTCCTAGGCGCTGAGGTTTTACCCAAAGCGCCACCCACGTCCCATCAGTTGCAATACCAAGCCGCTATTCCTTTGAACCCCAGTAGGGCAACACAGACACCCACATATTAAGTGATAATGTTCCACAGTCTGCATTAGGTTATTTGGTGGCGGCAGCAGCAGCAGCAGCAGCAGCAGCAGCAGCAGCAGCAGCAGTAGCAGTAGCAGTAATAATACCACACCCATCTGGCTGTACTGCCCCAGCCAACACATATAAAAACATAATAAAAACGCCAAACATTAAAAACCTGCTGATACAGGACTTCTTTCAGATGTCTTATGGATCATCTATAACATGATGCTAAGTGGAGAACCAACCAGCCGCTGCTGCAAAGATGGAAGGAAGGGGTGCAATTCTTGTAACTGTTTTGAAAGGATATTCAGGTTGTGCAATGCACAGCAGCTGCAATCCACCACCACTTGGGGAAATGGGCATCTGATTCGGCCAGCTGATTCCCAGCTGCAGTAAACGACTCCATCCATATCGGCAAAACTCAGGCAAAGCTACCACCCAAAAGAACGCTTAGATGTTAGAATTTAGTGGTGGCCCAGCCTAAATTTGGAAGGAGGCTCAAGTTCATTGCTCTTCAACCTTAGGTGCCCATATATTGGTGGATTACAGTTCCCATCATCCTTGACCATTGACTAAGCTGGCTGCGGTTGATGGGAGTTGTAGTCCAACGACATCTGGGGACCCAAGGTTGAAGACTACTGCAGTCTAGTCCACGAAAATGGATGCCACCAACCCATACCCACCTGTTCATCTTTAAGTTGCCAGGAGACTCTCTTTCTGATTTCCTGCCCCTCCGGAAGCTACTCTGCAAGAGTAAACATGCACCTTCGCAAGCCTGCTTTGTCTGCAAACACCACCCACTCTGTGCCTCATAGTGCTTTCGCCTTCATTGACTCCCTAGCCTGTAGCACATCACAACAGTCCTTGACATTGTGGGGAAAGGGCTCATAGTGAAAGCCACAAACAAGCTTAGACTCTTCCACCCAGAATGCCAGTTTTGGCCCAACCAGTGCCAGCCCTGAAGTCTCCTAAAACACAGTTCTCAAGAGGTAAAAGTTAAGTGGGGCATGCCATCTCTGCCCCCTTGTATTCTAGCACTGCATAATGCCCTCCCACGCTCACTTTCCCTCTCTTGTTTCTCACCTTTATAGAGAAAATCAAGGCAGCGATGCCCACAGGTAGGCAGCAGCACAGCATGGTGAAGATAGAGTAGTACAGGTGATCGGGTTCATTGGTAGGCTGAGGAGGCACAATGAAGATGGCCTGCGGGGTTTGATCTGAACCTTGGTAGCCTCCTGAATCTGGTGGGCCATAATAAGCTTGGTAAAGAGGTGGCATAGAGGGAGCTGACCCATAGCCCGGGGCGGGTGGAGGCTGACCAGGAGGTGCCAGCGGATCAGCCTCTGACTCAAAGGGCTGGTTTTCAGAGAAGGGTGGTGGAGCCTGAGGGTCAGGCCAGTTGCTGGACTTCTTCTCATAGTTTGGGTCACTCATTTTGCCAGTCTACTGCCCTCTTTCCCCTCCAGCTCTTCCCAGTTCTCCAAGTACAGTTTCTCTGCCTTTCTCAGTTCTTCACGTTCCTCCTTGCTGGCCACCCTGACTTGCTGCTGGGTATCTTCTTCTCTTCTTCTCACCTCCTCCAATCCTCTCTGTGCCTTTTGCCTTCCTCCTCTCGTGGCGCCCAACCAATCCCTCTGAATCTTCTCTATGGCTGGACGCTTGCCTTATAACGCTGGTTGGTCTGCCCGTCTGCTTAATGAACGATTTACTGATTGCCCTGGCTCTCGGACAGGATGACTTCATGATGTCTCGGAGCCTAGGCGGATGTGTGGGTGGAATAAGGCAGAGAACAAGCAACCCAGACAGACAGAGAGACAGACTCACGTACTGTGATATGGGTGAAGACTTATTGAAGTAGGGCACTGTGAACGGATGGGCTCCTTCATACATAGATACAAACACACTCTTCCCCATTTTACAGCTGAAAATAAGAACAGGAATCTATTCCTTGAGCTCCTGCAGGTGTGTCTTGAGCATTCATCCTGATTGGGTTATGCAGAGGTTAGTCTATGAGTATTTGTCTTGATTTGTTTGCGGGAAGATTAGACAGCAGTGTGCAGTGATGCTGATTTGCTTGCAAAGTGGTTATGCATCTCCCCGTTGATCATTTATTCCCTGGGGAAAACCACTCTTTAGGGCTTAAGGAGAGCACACAGCAAATTCAGGTTTTCTTGCATTGATGTTTGCTCTGATTTAGCGCTTAAGAGGGGGGTTTTGTCTGAAAAGGATGGCGGCAAGGGGGAAGACTGCTCAGACCTTGCTTTCTAGGCACTGGGCAAGTGGAAGCATGGACGAACCCCATAGCTAACAGCCAGAGCCAGTCCTGCTAAGTAGCACCACCACCATCTGGAAGAGGGAATTGTGTGGCCACATTGACAACTGAAGATGCATGTAGGAAGAGGGTGGTGGCGTCTTTTCCCCACCTCAACTGGCTGGAAGTCACATCATCCTAGGGAGAACAATATACCGGTGTTGGGGGCAAGGGCAGATGAAGGCGGGTGCAGTGGGGCTGGTCTGCCCCGGGCGCCTTCACTAAGGGGAGTGACATTTGGTGCACTTTGTTGTTTAGTTGTGTCCGACTCTTCGTGACCCCATGGCCCAGAGCACGCCAGGCACCCCTGTCTTCCACTGCCTCCCGCAGTTTGGTCAAACTCATGTTTGTAGCTTCGAGAACACTGTCCAACCATCTCGTCCTCTCTCGTCCCCTTCTCCTCCATCTTTCCCAACATCAGGGTCTTTTCCAGGGAGTCTTCTCTTCTCTTGAGGTGGTCAAAGTATTGGAGCCTCAGCTTCACGAGCTGTCCTTCCAGAGAGCACTCAGGGCTGATTTCCTTCAGAATGGATAGGTTTGATCTTCTTACAGTCCATGGGACTCTCAAGAGTCTCCTCCAGCTGTCTGCCTGCAACTCCCAAGCCTACATTGAGCCATTGGGCGGGGGAGGGGAGAGCTTTGCTGCTTTGCCATTGGCATTTCCCCCTTCCTCCTCCGTTTTGGCATTGTGGGTGGGTGGCCCGCCGAATGTCCGCCATCGGCGGCTCGCTCTGCCCCTGGCTGCAGGGTGCACGTGCCACTCCATGCATCTGAGTGGCTCTCCTGCCCCTGGGAGGGCACCCTCCACCCCCAGCACCCCTCGGGAGCGCACCCACCCTGGGCAGGGTGGGCATATGCTCCGCCGCTGGTTGGAGGTTAGTTTCAGGAGTGAGTTGGGCTGATGCTGGGAACTGAAAGCAAACACAGAGGTGCTTGGCCTTCTCTGTAGGCTGAATCCCAAAGTGGTAGCCTGGGGTGTGGGGTTTCCTGGAAAGCGAACAGGGAGGCAAGGCCCATTGGAGTATTAATGAGCCAGTGTGGTGTAGTGGTTAAGAGCAGAAGACTTGTAATCTGGTGTACCGGGTTTGCGTCTCCGCTCCTCCACATGCAGCTGCTGGGTGACCTTGGGCCAGTCACACTTCTTTGAAGTCTCTCAGCCCCACTCACCTCACAGAGTGTTTGTTGTGGGGAGCAAGGGAAAGGAGAATGTTAGCCGCTTTGAGACTCCTGAAGGGGAGTGATAAAGCGGGATATCAAATCCAAACTCTTCTTCTTCTCTTCTAATGCTGTGAGCCCTACACACACACACACACACACACACACACACACGACTCAATAAAACCATATGTCCTAAAGACACCACAGTCTCCAATGTCATTCCAAGGAAACCAAACCCGGGGGAAAGTGCTTGGAATTCCTGGAATCTCTCACCACTTGGAGACTGGGGTGCAGGCAACATCACTGACAGTCTGGAGGAGGCCACTAGAACCCCTTTCAGAGCCTCTGTTTATTCCTGATCATTAGATGCTTCTTAAACCTCTCCAGCGTTTCCTGTATTACCGTAATTGACTCTGCAATAGAAAACACTGAGAGGACAATCCTTTGGATTAAGCATCTAACAGGATTCAGATTTCAAATGTACTCCTAAGGCAGCCAAATACAGGTTGTGGCCAAACGGAATAACATAGCATAATAATATACATAAGAATTATACATAAAATTAAAAACCTTGCGCTATGCAATATATAAAACAAGCCTGGAAGGGGAATCAAGGCAACAAATATGACAAGCGTTCTCTGTTGTGCTTGCAAACGGCAAATGATATGTAATTGATTACGTTTCCCCCACCCCTCCATTTTCATGGTGTTTTCTTTTGAAACGAATGAAGTGGAATCCAGCCAAAAACCACATTAACCTTCCAAGCCGCATTGCGTTGCTGACTCATGGGCATTTAATTTTTTCTTGATACCTAAATGCATTGGTCTCTGATAAATTTCATTTTAGTTTCTGCCCAGTTTCCCACTCCATCTAGGACATTTGGGATATTATTCCTGTCTTGCTAGCTAGCCTCTCACCTGTTAATTTGAGACAGAGTACCTCCATCCCTTCATTTAAACCAGGGCTAGGGGAGCTGTGGTCCTCCAGATGCTGCTCCCATCAGACCCATGGACTTGACAAATTCAAATCTGGGCCACAATACTGGGGAAGGGAAGGGGGGATTAACCCTTTGTTCCCTGCACCATTGTCCTGATCTGAGTTTTCCTCCTGGAGCAGCAGAGTGGATGGTTCAGTGTGAACCCACCACTGCTATAGTGTCAGACACGTATTGCAGAATATACTCACAAACCCCAGCACCACCACTAGTCTGGAGGGGTTCCCTGAGTAGTTAGAACTGGGTTAGCATATGGTTGAGGCAAGTCTTCCCTTGTTGGCAGTGAAAAATAACAGCATCAACAAAATGAAAGCAAAGCAAAGAGAGTCGAGCTGTTCAGCTGGTGCAGAATTGGAAATTTACTGGAGCAAATAAAAATGCCTTGCACATCTCAGTATGCATCTTGGAGCCAAACTAGACATTTCTTTAATTGAATGGTTTGCAGTCATGTCTGGTTTTTTTAAAAAATAAAAAATAAAAATACAGGGCCTGGGGACAATATCAAGGGTGACAGTAGCATGTAGGCAGGAATGGAAGAGGTTGAGCTCTTCCCTTCCCAGGTGTGATCCTGGTGATATTTTGCATTAGGAGAGAGAAAAAAGAAACTTCTAGCTTGAAATTTACTCTCTCTTGACATTTCATGGTGATGAAACTGCGGACAGTGATTGGCTGAAGCTTCTCCAATGATCACAAAGGGTCAGGACACACCTGGAGAAGAGAAGACTGATAGCCATCTTCAAGTGTCTGAAGGACTGTCATATGGAAAACACAGCAAGATTGTTTTCTGCTCCTCCAGAGGATTCAAATTGCAAGAAAGGATTCAAGTTATAAGAAAGGAGATTCCGACTAAACATTAGGAAGAACTTTCTGATAGTAAGAGCTGTTTGGCAGTGAACTATCTTGAAAGGTGGTGGATTCTCCTTCATTGGAGGTTTTCAGACAGAGGTTATGTGGCCATCTGTCAGGGATCATTTAGCTGTGGTTCCTGCATTGCAGGGGATTTGATTTGACTTGATGACCTTTGGTCAGCTTTACAATTATGATTCCCCTGAAGTTGCCTCAAAGACAGTGTTTTGAAGTTCTTACAGTCTTCTGCTGTTCATCAAACCTCAGGGTTCCATCCTCTCCCCCATGCTTTTTAACATCTACATGCAGCCGCTAGGAGAGATCATCAGGGGGTTTGGCTGGGTGTCCATCAATATGCGGATGATACCCAGCTCTGCCTCTCTTTCAAATCGGAACCAGTGAAGGTGGTGAAGGTCCTATGTGAGTGTCTCGAGGCCACTGGAGGATGGATGGCGGCTACCAGATTGAGGTTGAATCCTGACAAGACAGAAGTACTGTTTTTTGGGGGATGAGGACGAGTGGGTGTGGAGGACTCCCTGGTCCTGAATGGGGTAAATGTGCCCATGAAGGACCAGCTGTGCAGTCTGGGAGTCATTTTGGACCCACAGCTGTCCATGGAGGCACAGGCCAATTCTGTGTCCAGGGAAGCTGTCTACCAGCTCCATCTGGTATGCAGGCTGAGACCCTTTCTGCCCACGACTGTCTCGCCAGAGTGATTCATGCTCTGGTTATCTCCCGCTTGGATTACTGCAATGCGCTCTATGTGGGGCTACCTTTGAAGGTGACCCGGAAACTACAACTAATCCATAATGCAGCAGCTAGACTAGTGACTGGGAGCGGCTGCCAAGATCACATAACACCGGTCTTGAAAGACCTACATTGGCTCCCAGTACGTTTCTGAGCACAATTCAAAGGGTTCAGGCCCAGTATACCTGAAGGAGTGTTTTCCGCCCATTGTTCAGCCTGGACACTGTCCAGCACCAAGGGCCTTCTGGTGGTTCTCTCACTGCAAGAAGCCAAGTTACAGGGAACCAGGCAGAGGGCCTTCTCAGCAGTGACACCTGCCCTGTGGAACGCCCTCCCATCAGATGTCAAGGAAATAAATAACTATCTGACTTTTAGAAGACATCTGAAGGCAGCCCTGTTTTGGGAAGTTTTAAATGACTGATGTTTTAATGTATTTTTAATGTCTTGTTGGAAGCTGCCCAGGGTGGCTGGGTATAATATTTATTTATTTATTTATTTATTTATTTATTTATTTATTTATTTATTTATTTTTATTATTCAGAAATCATGGGGTGAGCATGCAATGTGTACCAGCCTGCACCAACAGAAGGACTCAAAAGGCATGGCATCAAACCAGGATAACTTGTCCATCTTTTCAGATATTAATGCTGTGCAATGCATGTTCAGGAAATGTCAGCTACTGATCAAAGATCAGAGGGGAACAGCAAGGAAAGCTACAGAGTTAGGAATACAATCCCTACCACAAGAGCTGTTTGAGCTAAGAGGGTGTCAACTGAGAGCTTTACTGAGCAGCCAAGCTGTTTCCAGTGATATTTGCTTCGCGTGTCTGTGCAGAAAAAGAGAGAAGCAACGGATTAGTGGAAAAATGCAAAACATTGCGTGCATGCAGAAGTGGGTGGTCCTCCTGAGAAGTTGAGAAACAGTCGCCTCTGTGTTGGCCAACAAAGATTCCTGTTGGATGCCAAAGCCCCATGACCCAGTCACTCCCTATGTGATGAAATAAGCAGGCAAGACAGCAGAAGAAAGGGGGTTTTGGGGGTTGAAATAGGCCACAACTATTTGATACAGTTGTGAAAGGTTTGGCAAAGCTATTGGGTAAAGCCATTTAATTATTTCCAGCCCATCTGCTGGGAGTGTATCTAAGGGGAAACCACAAATGGGGGAGGCCTGTGACCTACATCAAATAGGGGAACACCACTCCCCCCAAGGGATCCCCCTGGAGGAGTTCTATGGCCCTGGCCTCTGTCTTCGGACAGAAGCAACTCCTCATGGATTCCTTTAATGAGATACCCTTAAGCAAGGAGGGGCAGGCGGAAGCTACGAACTGCTCCAGCAGGGAATCATCATCATCATTATCACTATCATTATCATTATCATCAGTGGCATTTAGGATAATGTTGCCGTAGTGGAGACAACATGCACTTTTTAGCTGTGGCTGCTGGCTGGTCATCAGCTAGCATGGATCCAGCCTGCGGTGGGGAATATTTGGTCCTCCAGCTGCTGCTGAACTCCAATTCCCATCATCCCCAGCAAGCAAAGCCAGTGGCCAGGAATGATGGGATTTGTAGTCCAGCAACAACTGAGTAGCCACAAGTTGCGCACTCCTGATAGAGATAGATGGCTTTCATTCACTCCGACTGCAATGCTTAAAAAATGAAAGAGGGGACACTTGGGTATAACATTGTCCTGACTCCCGCTTGGACGGACGACAGAGGCAAGAGTAAGGAAGAGATCTTTATTGACATAGAGGTTCCAGCTCAGCAATGGTGGTGAGTCTAGGCAGCCTTTACGCTCAGGCTAGGTGACAGGAAAGGTGAGATTAGCCAGGTTAGAAGCTGTGATTTCAGCTTACAGAGCCCAAGATCAGGGCAAGGAATTCAGAACTGTGCAGAAGCAATGGACTAATCCCAATGGGTTGACACACCCACCTGCCAAGCTTTTGAAGACAGGGCAAGGCGAGCCTACTTGTGTGACTCTTGTGCCTTGCAAGACAGATGAGTCATTGCATTGGTGCACCAATGGGTCCTGGGCGACTAGGCTGTGCCCCTCCTCTTCTGACTGTGGTTCTTCTAGCCCTGGTGAGATTGTGTGTAGACAGTGAGATCAGGAGGAAATTAAATGCATACTGTACTGATTGGCAATTGCATCCTTAATGCTGGCAGTTCACTGGTATTGGTTTCAAGGGGCTCTGCTCTTCCTTTTCAGATGCTGTTCTGTGGCTTAATGTTATGTACTGAGTTGAATAGGATCCAAAATGCAGCAGTCTGATTGGTCCTAGAACAATAGGATTCAGAATGCAGCAGTCTGATTGGTCCTAGAACAATAGGATTCAGAATGCAGCAGTCTGATTGGTCTGCAGGAGCCACCCAATCCAACTCCAGGTGGAAGTGAATCCGCAACCTGATTGGCCTACAGGAGAATCCCAGAATTAGCCAATCACGTGGGGCCCATTGTGTAAATAATGTATATAAAGCAGACATTTCGGGGGAACTTCCATTCCTCACTAGTATGAGCTGAATAAAGAGCATGAAATCCACACTCGACTCCGAGTATATTTCACTTAATGTGTCATGTTTAATGACATCACTAGGATCCACCTCCATGACATCTCCAGGCCCGCCTTCCAGGTCTCAGCTTTGGGCTGTGAAATCTCAGAGTCTGGAATGTCCCTGGCTTGGCAACCCACCCCACAGTGCAGGTCCTATGTCATCCTCCTGTTCCCGCTCCTCATTCTTCTGAGCTTGCCACTCCATTCCTGAGCCTGGCAATGTCTCGTTGTAGCAGGGGAAAAACATCTGCCCATTAGTGTTGGTGGTACTGGCCTGTTCCCCACTAACAGGGAAAATTTTGGGGTGGGGAACAAATATGCTGTGCAAAGACAAATGTGTTGTCCCTCCCCAGGTCTCTGCAATATGTAGACTTGCCCCACTGATCACAATAGCATACAGTTTGCTCATTTGAAGTAAATACAATATCATTTGGAGGCAGGAGGTATTTCAAATATTTTTAATGAAACTGACAGCTTTTCTTCACTAACACTGAAAATCATCTTCATTCCTGGATTAAGCAATATTATATGATATACACAAAGAGCAGCTTGTGCCAACTGATTATTCCTTATTTATTTTTATTTCACAAAATTTATATCCTGCTGGAGCACATAGCAAACAGACAACCCTCAAAGTGGTGTAAAAAAAGAGAAAAGAATAAGAAGTGAGCCCCCTGTTAACAGCTATTCAAAACATTAAAAAATAATTGAATCAACGATAAGCTTGAAAGCTGATTAAAACACAACCCCAACCTTCTACATGTCTATATAGGCTTGTCTAAATAAAAATGTTTTTAGTGGGCACCAAAAAAGAATACAGGGAAGGCACCTGCCTGGTGTCAATAGGTCGGGAGTTCCAAAGTGTGAGCGTTGCCACACTAAAATATTGATTCCTTACAGAAGCAAAGGGAACATTATGTAGCCCTTGTAACAGTGCCAGTTCCACAGATCAAAATGGTTGAGTTGGCATATATGGGGTAAAGCAACCCCACAAGTAAACATAGATTGGCTTGTTCATTCATAAAAGACAATATTGAACCAAATACAGACACAGGCAGGGATAAAAGAAAGGCATTCAACAGTGCACTGGAAAGTTAATAAAGACCTCTCAAAGGCAGATATATAATGGATGGGTGTTTCAAATGCCACTACACTAAAGGCCCAGGGAAGAAACCTGGACCAGAGGTGTCAGATGGAGGAGAGGTACATCTTGGCTCTGGACGGGCTATGGTCTAAACAGGTAATTCTACTTTAACATTGGCAAGAGCAAGGCAATTGACTCAGACATTTCCCAAGCCATCAGGCAGGACACTGTTTCAGATCCTCAGCACCCAAATCCATTTGCCTGTCCCTCTTCTGTTGTTTCTGTTTGGGATGCTTGTGTGTTGTAGAGCTGGAGCAAGACAATGCTTTTCGTTTAATGTGTTTGGGCTGCGGCAGAGCTCTTGCTAGGTGGAATTTTCAGGGCACACACGCATGCCATCTAGCCAGTGGTGTATCCTGTTATGGAAGACGATTGTCAAAGGGGGACTTCTCTTGCCTGTCTGCTGGGGTGAGGTGGGGAAGGTCTTTTGGAATCTGAAGGCTGCAGAGGGCATCATCAGGGCTTCTGCGGTGGAAGGTAGGCTGCTGTGGTAGAAACAATCACTACGATGATAATATATATAACAAGGCACCCCAGCCCAATCCCCAGAGCGATGTGACCGAAGAGGCGTGCCATTCGGGAATTTCTCTTGGCGGACGCGGCATTTCCAGCGAAGTTGGCTTCTCTTGTCTGCAGAGAAAGAGAGAGAAACGAGTGAGAAACCATGCAGCTGGAGAACACCTCCAGCATGCAGAAGTGGCAAGCTGAGAAACAGTTGCCTGGTGTTAGCCAACGAAGAATCTTGTTGCTTGAGGCTATCAGTCACTTACCAGTAACCTTGTGGTTTTAGTCTGGAACCTAGCAGAGCAGAGCAAGACTGTAAGCCAGGCATAGGCAAACCCAGCCCTCCAGATGTTTTTGGACTACAAGTCCCATCATCCCTAGCTAACAGGACCAGTGGTCAGGGATGATGGGAATTGTAGTCTCAAAACATCTGGAGGGCCGAGTTTGCCTGTGCCTGCTATAAGCTCACACTGAGGTTCAAGACATCAGTTTGGATGGTCCTCTGAGTTTTCACCAGCACAGATCTGACCAGTGGTGAGGTTTCTCCACGAGCAATTTGCAAATCAGGCTCTTGGCAACCGCCAGCAGGCAGGCTGGGACCTGCCCTTAAAGTATCTCATGATTAAAGACCCTCTCTCCTCCTCCCTTGTCACAGTTGGTCCAGGCCTGTTGGCAACTCTGGTTGGGTTCATACCGTATGTTTGAAACACCCACCCCACAAAAATCCTGGGAGCTGTAGTTTGTTAAGAGTGGCTGGGAACTGTTGGAGGGGAAAGTTACTTTCCAAGGTTCTTCAGGGAGAAATGTGCTTTAAATGGACTTTTTGAAATGTATGGTGCATATGCAGCCAGAGGTTCTATGGCAATCCCCACTGTGTAAGAGCATGGCAACCCTGATCAGACCTGTCTAGCTCAGCATCCTGTGCTTACAATGTCTGATCAGATGCATGTGGGAAGCCTGCAAATTGGACAAGAATGCAACAGCAGCTGCCTGTCTACCTGCAATTCTCAGCAACTGGTATTCAGAGGCATAATTCTTCTGACAGTCAAGGTAGAACATCAGCCATTGTGGCTTGTAATCGCTGACAGCCTTCTCTATGAATGTGTTTAATGTGCTTTAAAAGCCGCCCAAATGTTTGTGAAAAGGGAATTGCATAACAAGGCAGATCAGGAGATTTTTCTGGATCTTTGAGGGGCTGGTAGAACTTGAACAGAATGTTAGGGATAAAGAAGATAACCTAATTAGTATTATTAATTAGAATGCTGCAAATGCATAAAGGCATGATGGTTAAGTTGCATTGGAGGAAATATTATTTAGAAATATGATGAATGATTTATATGGACTTTAAGCATGTTTTAATGCTTGAATGTCTATTGAGTCAACACACAGACTATTAACCAACAGGAACTGTCCGTTGTAATCCTTGGATTTGGCAATCTTTGGACTTGACTATCCTTGGACTTTACAACAATAAAAACATATAGAAGATTAATAGTAATATGATATGTTATTGCCATGAGGAACAGTGCTTTGCAATTTTTTGATATGATGATTATATTACAGTTTCATTATATATAATGTTATGTTACTTTACAGCCAGTTACGTGTGTGTTGTGGTATTCTGAATGTCTATTGGGTGCATGTACAGATATTTCTGTTGAGAAATACGGAGCGCTCACTTACAATGAGCTGTTGCACAACACATTGCTCAGAGGTGAGGTACAAAGAGGGGGAACGGACACTGAGCCATATCCTGGACCGAATCCTGTTCTAAGATGGGTCACATCAGTGGCTTTCTGCCATTCTCTCTCTCTCTCTCTCTCTCTCTCTCTCTCTCTCTCTCTCTCTCTCTCTCTCCCTGCCTTTCGGTCATTTCATTTTGCATTGTTTTAAAAGGAAAAAGAGAAGAGGAGAAGGGAGGAGGGAGCAGCAGCAGCAACAACAGCAGCAGCATGGAACTAGAAGGGTAGAAGGAGAGAATTAAGAAAGAACGTGAATGTGGGTTAGAGAAAGGTAAATAAAATACACCCTAGAGAAAGATCAGATGAAAGTAGCCTATTCTTTGGTGGTGGAGAGGAGATTATGAGCCTCTGCTACCCACTCCTTGGCACTGGGGTGTCCCGATAAAGAGATCCACAAGGAGGGGCTTCTGTCCATACATCCAGGCTAAGAGCCACAGCACTCCCCAATGCCGCAAGTCTGTGTGGGTTGCATTTATTTGATATATGTCATGGGTCGACCCCAAATCAGGCTTGGTCCCCAGAATCCCTCCAGCAGGCTGACTGGAGGAGATGGTGGCTGCTTAATGCCAACCCAAAACTCGTAATCAACAAAGTTGTGGCCTAATTGAACCTCACTGAATGTTTCCTGTGGTCCTTGTCTTACTGATACGGCCCAATGGGGAGGGGTTCACGGTGCCTGGGGACACAGTTATGGAGAACTCGCTTATGATGAGCATTTGCACAACTCCTTGCTCGGGGGCGATGTACAAAGAAGGGAAATGCACCCATTGACATGAGCCGTATTCTGGATCACATACTCATTTAAGCTGGGTCACACCAGTGGCTTTCTGCCATACTCTTTATCTTTCTCTGGTAATTTCGTGCACATTGTTTTAAACAATAGGAGGAGGAGGGGAGAGGAGAGGAGGAGGAGGAGCGGGAACTAGAAGGAGAAGGAGGAGGAGGAGGAGAGAATAAGGAAGAAAGGGAAAGGAAAACAAAACATGCCCCAAGAGAAAGATCAGATGGGTAGCTCAGTCTGCTAGAGCATAGTGCTGATAACGCCAAGGTTGCAGGTTCGACCCTCGTATGGGAGAACTGCATATTTCTGTATTGCAGGGGGTTGGACTAGATGATCCTCAGGGTCCCTTCTGACTCTACAGTTCTACTATTCTGTAAATGCATGCAGTAAAAGAGGAAGGAAGGAAGACAAAGGTGGATCCCAGTTCTCGAAACACAGAGCACTGACATTGGATCCAGCATTAGCTGTGTCATAATCAGGTTGGTATTGGGGTGGCATAGAGAGCTCTTTGCCCTGCAGCTGATCATCTGCAGCATCATGCCCAGTGAAGAATTGGCCCTTGATCTAAGGAGATGAGGAACAATCTCCTAGCTGTGTGACAAGATGTTCCAGGTGACCATCTCACCAAGTTGTAAACAGCTCCATGGTAAGTTAGCCCTTGCCAAACAGTCGGTTTTCCATCCACAATCTTTGCTGCATTAAAATAAAAAAGTTTGATACCACATCACACCCTTAACCATGCCTCGATTCTGCAGCTAAGTGGTGGCATGATATTTTTGTTTCTGGTGCACCAAAACAGATGCCGCAACAATTTGTTCCCTTTAAGGTGCTATGAGGCTCTCCCTTGCTCACACCGCAACAGACTAGCAAGGCTAGCCTCCTCCAGATGTTGCAGCGTAACATGCAGCTAAGTAAACATGTAGTTTAGCAATGTGTGTCTGTTTCTCCTTTATTTACCTAATTCCTTGTAACTGTGTAGGAGGGCTGTGGGATGGGCCCCTCTGTCAGTTTTGGTTTCTCTCCGTTTTTCATTTCCGCAATCTTAATTTCGTTTATACACTTTTCTGCACCACACTGTCATTTTCTTTTAAAGACCCCATGAAGACCTATCATCTCATTTGCCCAGATACACATGTTTGCAAAGCAGTTTCCCCAAATACAATGCAATCCTTTATTAGGTGTATGCATTTTACCCTAGCTTTGCCCTAGTGTATGCCTTTTGGTACACACATACTCGGCTGGAGAACTGCATTGCAAAATTCAGAAAAGTGTGAATTTTGGGAGGAGGGCTGTTTTTTGGTTTGTGTATCGTTTCAGAAAGAACAAATTAGGTGGGTTTGCCTTCAATTGAAACTGCATTGAATTTCTCTCCTCACTCCCCTCCCACTCCCATAGTGCCAGTGCTTGAACTTTAAAGGGAAATATTTTCAATGAAAGACAGAAGCCCCACTCCTAATTATAACCAAATTATAGCCAAATTATAGCTTGTGATGCCACCTTCCAAAAACAACACTTAAGCCAATGCTACTCCTACTCAGAGCAGACCCACTGAAATCAATGCCCATTACGAATTTGGACCTGTTACCTGCTATGGGTCTTCTCTGAGTAGAACTCGGTTGGGTGCAACCCCTTATTACTAAGGGAGGGACTTGCCTTTTTTGCCTCCTTTGTTTTCTAGCAAAGCCTCACCCCCACCCCCATTTCTTTGCCTCTCCCTTTCACACACACTTACCTGTATAGAGTAGACCAAGGCGGCAATACCAAGGGGTAAGCAGCAGCAGAGCATGGTGAAGATGGAGTAGATCAAGTAATCGGGTTCATTGGTGGGCTGTACAGGTGTGACGTAGACCGCCTGTGGAGGTTGAAGGACTGGGCCTAGGTGAGATCCCGCACCGGGTGGGCCATAGTAAGGCATTGCCCCATAGCCTGCTTGGGGTGCTGGCATTGCCCCATAGTCTGCTTGGGGTGCTGGCCCAGGAGGCTGTTTCAGTGGGTCAGGCTCTGCATAGGCCTCTTTTTCAGAGTAGGCAGGAGGGTTCTGAGCGGCAAGTGCCTTCTCACCCAGCTGTTCATAGTTTGGTTTGCTCATGGTGGTGCTTCCTTCTTCCTTCGTCTTCTCAGTTCTGCAACCTCTGCTCAGTTCTTGGCGTTCCTCCTCCTGCCCCGGTTAGCTGCTAGATGTCCTGCTTTTTCTCTCTCTTTCTCTGTTCTCCTACCCTTTCCTCACCTTCTGCCTTTCCTCTGCCTTTAGCGCCCTCTTCCTGTGGTCTGGGTCTTCTTTAAGGCGTGTGTGTTGCCTCTGCAATGCTGGCCAGGCTCTGGGTCCTTCCTTCAGAAACTCCTAGCTTCTTAGACAGGACAGATTTGCTGTGTCTAGCTTTCCAGAAGAAGAGTGTGTGGAATGAGGGGCAAGCAACGAGCAAGAGACAGTTTTGTCCTGGGTATTGCAACATAGGTCCAGGAAGTGGAGGATATTTCCTAGCCATGTAGTGCTGTAGTGTTTCTTTCGTCATCCTTGCTGTGGAAATGGACACACACGGCAGAGAGATTTTGCAATTCTCAAGTATCTGAGATGTCATCGGGTCTGTGCAGGTTCATAAATTTGGGGAGTCTAGTAGTCTCTCCCAGGCCAGATATATGGCTCCCACGCAGGAGAATCTGAGATGTGCCCTAATAAGGCATCCCTCTCTCTGTCATTATAAACTTTTAGGAAGAATTCAAAAACATTGCTGCTCCCTTAGGCATTTGTTGGCTGAAATTTTTTCTTGGCAGCCTTGAAATTATTTGCTGTGGGAGTAGAGGCTTCTTTTTTTAGAAGGTTTTTAACTGTTTTAAACTGGAGGGTTGTTTTAAACTTTTTTTGTAAGACTAAATGGCTTTATTATTGATGTGGTTGCTAATCTTCAGGAGGAAGGATGGGATGTAAGTTTAATAAAATGAATGAATGAATGTAGTCTAGTCTATGTTGAATCGTAAATTTGCGTAGAAAGATACTGATCCTTTCATGCCACAAAAGACAGCTGCTGATCACCCTGAGATGGAAAACATACAGATACCATATATTATCTATCTATCTATCTATCTATCTATCTATCTATCTATCTATCTATCTATCATCTATCTATCTTTGCAGGTAGCTATAATGTATGTATGTATGTATGTATGTATGTATGTATGTATCTAGACCCTGGCTGTATTTGAACACCACAGCAATATGCAGATAATGGTTTTCTACAAATGCTCTTATGACGCTGCTGTATTTTTCTTTTTGTGCAAACGGCAGCAAGACACAGTGATTTCTGGCATTACATCCATCATGGTGTGTGTGTGTGTGGCTCATTTCACTCCAAACAAACCACAATCTGAAATCATTGGCCTTAGCAATCATGGTTTGTTTGAGTGCCACAAACCCCCACCCTCGGTTTGGATGTGGCGCTAAGCCAGGGGTCATGGTTTTATTGCTCCCACATTAATAATAAACCATTCGCTGTTGTCATGATTTATCTCCCACCCTTCCTCCTAAAAGCAGCACAGGGCAGCAACCCCCCCCCCAAGTCAAAACATATACTGTATTAGCCAGAATATAAGCCACACCTGAATATAAGCCGTACCTTTAAAATTAGAGGGGGAAAGTGGGGGGGGGGGACCCAAAAACCCAAATATAAGTCTTTCTATTCCTCGCTGCTCCAGGCTACATTGCCAGTGGCCTTTCCCCTTCCTTGCTCTCTACCTTCCTGGCCTTGGGGGAGAGGATGGGGGACTATGTGCGGGGCGGGCACCGCTTTTCCATGCTCCTGGTGCTGTTTGCCCCACGCTCCTGGCTGCATACTGTAAGGTCGCGAATATAAGCCGCATTTTAACTTTCCACAGTTGGAATGTGGGGGAAAAGTGAGTCTTATATTCAGGTCAATATGGTATTTGCCAAGTGCCCCATTTTCAGTGGGATGGACCTCCTTTCCTTGAGGGTACCCTGCCTTTGTCCCTCAGCTCTTTGGTTTTGTGTCATGGTGTGGAGAAGGGAGGGATGGGCGGCAGTGAGGGGTAGTGGGCGATGTGGTGCTCTGGTGTGAATCAGCTGGGTCATGCCACAACACTGGAATGTTTTTCGGTCTTGCGAGGTCAAAGAATGTGTGTTTTGTTTCTGTGCTCTCGCACATTCATAAAGCTTGGAACAAAAAATGGAGCGTTCTAATTTTTGTGGGTAAAATGTCGGACGGTATGAAAACATTCTAAAAACCACAACAGTTAAAAAGTTCTAAAAGCAGTGAAAAATATTATCTCATCCAGTGATCTCATGGTTGTCAAGTACATTGTCTTTCAGCCACCAAATGCCTGGGTCAAATTCCTCCTGAAAAGTCAACAATGACTTTAAAAAGGTGGTGTACACTGAGCCACTCTTTATGCTGTAAGAAAGCTGAGCACAACTGTTTTGTAAATTGCCCTTCCCCATGGATTTCTTACGAATGGGTTCACCATCTGAATTGCAGTTGGTTAATTACACAGACAGGTAAGCTTGCATAACATGTTGTGTGAATTAAACAGTTTTTCTGAAGGGTGAAAAAAGAGTTCCTTTGTCTTTAAGATGCACGTGTGGTATCAAACATCTTAGAACAACATGTCCATCTGGTCTCAGATGAAACACACACACACACACACACACACACACACACACACACACTGTGTTGCATCAGCAACCATCTTAGAAGAGATACGAGAAGGAACTCTTCTAAAATGGCACCTACTGTTTACATTTTTGTAAGTGTGTGTACACACACACACATACACACACACAGAGTTGGGAGCACCGGCTGAGTTGATCAATCTGCCTGACTGATTAAATACTGCTGTCCTTATTCGAATCTACAGAATGAAGAATGTAAGCTGATAGTTCTAGGAATGTGAAATGTGTTCCTGGAATGCGAAATGGGCAAACACATGTAAACTAGTTATGAGTAGGCGAGCTCCAAAGTGAAATTACAGGAACTGAGACAAAGACATCTGCCTGTAGTTTGCAAGTCCTTTGTATAAGGAACCAAAAATAGAGTGTGGTATGCTGTTAGGCAGACAAATCCTCACTGCGGTCAAGAACAGGGCCTTTCAGATTTATTCATTTTATTTTAATAGTATTCATCCCATAAAGCATGTAGCCATGGGACTGGTGGGCCCGGGGGGCAGTAAGTGGAGCCACAGCCAATCACAGACAGAACTGCCCCCTGATGGGCTGTAAGTAAGAAGGCAGGCAGGTGGGGGCTGCCTGAGGTTTGGTGGGCCACTGCCCCATTTGCCCTCATGGACCAGTCTCCACTGAAAACACCTCCATCACATAATGTTGTTGGCATCCGTCTGTCTCAAGAGAATGAGGTGAAGTCAAACAGCTGTCTTAGCAGCACCAAAGTCACCTTCCTGGGGTGCAAGCCTGGGCAGTGTGTAAGGTGGTCCTGGGCTGTTCAGATGACAAGACTCTTAGCCTCACTGATGTGGTCCAAAGGAAAACAGAGCAATACATTTGGCACCAGCTTGGCTGCAGGAGTTGCTGGAAGGAGGTGTACAAGGCGCCACCCAACCGTCTTGGGGACTGCACTCCAGATTTGTGAAGGGGTTACTCCTTAGCCTTTCCTTCTCCCGAAGATACCCTGCAAGCCAGCTGAGGCTCAGGATCAGAGTTTTCCTTCTTCTAGATGGGCTACCTTACAGGTTGACCAGCACCACCTGCCCCTCACTTGCCTCTACAGCACATGCGGATACCACGTGTTGGACCCACTACAGTGGTACCTTGGTTCTCAAACACCTCGGTACTCAAACAACTTGGAATGCAAACTCCGCAAACCCGGAAGTAAGTGTTCCGGTTTGTGAACTTTTTTTGGAAGCCGAACATGCTCCGTTTTGAGTGTTACACTGAGGTCCATCTGTTTTTGCTATTTAATTTTGCATTTTTGTTTTTGCGGCTCTTTTTGTTTTGTTTTTGTGACTGTTTAGAACCCAGTTCAGCTACTGAATGATTGATTGTGTGACTGTAGTACATTGTTTATTGCTTTCATTTTATGGATCAATGGTCTTGTTAGATTGTAAAATTCATATTAAATTGCTCTTTTAGGGGTTGTTTTTAAAAGCCTGGAATGGATTAATCCATTTTGCATTACTTTCTATGGGAAAGCGTGCCTTATATTTGGAACGCTTTGGTTTTGGAACAGACTTTGGGAAAGGATTAAGTTTGAGAACCCCAAGGTACCACTGTATTGGTCTGAGACCCATCAGCTACCCTCACCTGGTTTAGCCAGCCAATTGAAACCACTCTCAGGGTGTGGCCATTAGATAGATAGCTTCTAGGAGCCACAGATGAGAGCTGAGTGCAAGGCAGGGAAACCAGCTCCTGGGAGCCGAGCCCATTTGGCTCCCTCAATATTTTTGGGAGAGTCTGGGGCCTTCATGTCCAAAAAGCATGGAGGTGAAGTGTGGAGCTGAGAGTGGCACAGCTCCAGTGGCCGACTCCTTCTCCTCCACCTCCTGCCATGGAGTGGAAGGAGGGTTGAAGCAGCTTCCTGCTGGTGGCTGTTCCAGGAGGAGGTGGAGTCCAAGCCACCGGCCGTTGAAGCCAAAGTTTGCTCTACTCTATTCTTTCACCTTCATCCTACCACAGCAACGACAAACCTTGGTGTTAGGGGTTTCATGGAGCATGTCACCTTGTACCTGCCACAAGTTTGGACATGTCGTGAGAGAGATGTCTTTGCCTTGACCTTTCTATGGGCTTTTATTATCATAGGCTCTGGTCTTGCACTCTAGGGAAGTTGCTCACTTGCTCTTAAGGACAAACACACACACACACACACACAAACAACAGCAAAAAACAAACTACCGGTATTTGCATCCTGGATACACTTGCCCAATTCAAACTGAGTCCAATTAGAATTTATATAGCCCCATGGTTCTCAACTTTTCACACCAGTCTGTTAAAAACCATTCTAATAAAAGGGCAGTTGTCCTAGTCTTGTGGGACAGAGCATTCCACCAGGTTGGAACTGTCACTGAAAAAGCCCTGGCCCTAGTGGAAGATAGTTCTATAGCTTCCTAAGTTCCTTTTCTTCTTAGGTTGCGATCAGAAAAGAGAAAATGCCCATAACAATTCAACTATTCAACACCCCTCCCCCACTGCCCTCAAGTCCTTTATGGAGAGAAATTGCTGATGTCCTTTTGGCAGGGAATACTCTTGAAGCGATGCAGGCTGGTTTCACCATTCAGTTTCCAATAACACATCCTTTGAAGAGAAAGGCCTGCAGAGCGTTGGGGTCTGAAGACACAATCGGTTAAAAGAAAAAAGGAGTAAGATAATAAATAGCCAAGGAAGGGGAGAATATCCTTCAAATTTCTTCTTAGGAAGCCGTAAACAATACAAAATTTTAGAGTTAAGGGTTTTATTCATTTAATTATTATTATCACCTTTCCATATAATTACTACTGTTATTTTCTGCTCCGTCTGTTTACTTTCCTTCACTTAGTTTTTGGGTGTTGTGGGAGAAAAGAAGGAAAAAAACCTACATTTTTACACAATGCACACAAAGGGGTATTTCTCACTGCAATTCCCTCAATGGTTCCCAATTTTACATTAAGAAATTTGAATAAAGTTTCATGTGCAAGGCATAGCCTTGTCACTTCTTGTTTTAAACCTCCTTTTTCTTTTCTTTTTAAGCTAACATAGCCTCTAGACATGTACAGAGTTCATGATTCAGCAAATCTATTATATCATTTAAAGTGTTGCATCTCCTGACTAAATTACCATTTGAATAAAGCCATGACTGACTTTTCTTACCAGGGACTCATGGAAGGGAAGGGGTAGATTTAAAAAATCTGTAAACAAAGAGCAGAAAAAGGATTGATAGAGGGAAATTTTTTTTAGTCCCTGGGGTTGGAGAGTCCTCCCTACCTTCTTCCCTGTGCACGGTACCTTATACTCACTTCTGCAAGCGCTGCTCCTGGCGATCCCGGGATCTTTTACTAAATTCTTTATGGCTGGCCTGATCAAGCGTTGCTTCCTCTGGTTAGCCCCGCTGGAACGCCAGTTATTTCCAGACCCTGGGATCGCTGGTGGACTGGTGGCTCCTCCTGGCAAATGGCCTGGTGCGCATTGGATCACCAGTCCTTCCTCACCCCCAGAATCTGGACAGCCAAAGCTCCTGCCTGGCTCACCATATTGATGTAAACAAAATCTGCTCCTTTTCCCGTATGGGCTATCCAAGGGTTCGTATAGAGTCCTTAAGCGAGTTCCCTATCGGTAGGAGAAAATAACAGAGGCCAACCAGAAAATACTGAGAAGCAAAGCAGCTACTAAACTTGATCTTTATAAAACTGTTGCAACAGGCAGTGGCGTAGCGTGGGTTGTCAGCACCCGGGGCACTGCGAGTGCGAGTGCGCCCCCCCCAGATGTTGCGCCCGGTGCGGCCGGCCCCCCCTGCACCCCCCACGCTACTGGCACTGGCAACAGGGTCCTCACTCACCACAAGCAGAAGGGAGGAGGAACCCAGAACAATGGTGTGCAAGCCCTTATATAGACTTTTGAAATTGCCCACCCTGTATCTTAAGATCACCCCCAAAAACATCATACACACATCACAGAAGGAGGCGGTCTACAACAGAAATCCTGTCTGCCAGGATACCTGAAAATGGCCAGTGATTGCTTACTTGGGGAGCCTGGCCATTATTTTGTGATAGTAAATACTTTAATTCCTGAATCCAGGTCACAGGCTCACCCTATTCATACAGAAAGATGCCCTAAAGACAGGTAAGCAAAAGACAATGGAGAGTCTTTCCCATTTCCTTCCTCCTTGCAGAGAAACATTTGAGGTCAATTTGGGAGAGTCAAAATGGTTTCAGGATTGTTCTCCTGTACTATTTCAGACATGTGGTTTACATACACATGTATATGTTTGCCTTGTAAATTTATGAACATTTTTTATCTATAATTTCTTGTAACAATGATGATATATAAAATAAGGAACCCCAGCCCAATCCCGAGAGCGAGGTGAGAGAAGAGGCGTGCCATTCGGGAGTTTCTCTCGGCGGACGCGGCATTTCCAGCGAAGTTGGCTTCTCTTGTCTGCAGAGAAAGAGAGAGAAGCGAGTGAGAAACCACACCGCCAGGGAACACCTCCAGCATGCAGAAGTGGCAAGCTGAGAAACAGCTGCCTGGTGTTAGCCAATGAAGAATCTTGTTGCTTGAGGCTGTCAGTCACTTACCAGTAACCTTGTGGTTTTAGTCTGGAACCTAGCAGAGCAGAGCAAGACTGAAGCCAGGCATAGGCAAACTCGGCCCTCCAGCTGTTTTGGGACTACAAATCCCATCACCCCTAGCTAACAGGACCAGTGGTCAGGGATGATGGGAATTGTAGTCTCAAAACATCTGGAGGGCCGGGTTCATATCGTATGTTTAAAACACTCACCCCACAAAAATCCTGGGAGCTGTAGTTTGTTAAGAGTGGCTGGGAACTGTAGCCCTGTTGGAGGGGAAAGTTACTGTTCCCAGGATTCTTCAGGGAGAAATGTGCTTTAAATGGACTTTTTGAAATGTGTGGTGCATATGTAGCCACAAGTTCTATGGCAAGCCGCACTGCATAAGAGCATGGCAACCCTGATCAGGCCAGTAGCCTGTCTAGCCAAGCATCATGTTCTCACATTATGCAATGTTTTAAAGGGAGAAAGAGAAGAGGAGGAGGGAGGAGGGAGGAGGGAGGAGGGAGGAGCAGCAGCAGCAGGAGCAGCAGCAGCAGCAGCAGCAGCAGCAGCAGCAGGGAACTAGAAGGGTAGAAAGAGAGAATAAGAAAGAAAGTGAATGTGGGTTAGAGAAAGGTAAATGAAATATATCCTAGAGAAAGATCAGATGAAAGTAGCCTATTCGTTGGTGGTGGAGAGGAGATTATGAGCCTCTGCTCCCCACTCCTTGGTACTGGGGTGTCCCGATAAAGAGATCCACAAGGAGGCGCTTCTGGCCATACATCCAGGCTAAGAGCCACAGCACTCCGCAATGCCGCAAGTCTGTGCAGGTTGCATTTATTTAATGTATGTCATGGGTCGACCCCAAATCAGGCTTGATCCCCGGAATCCCTCCAGCAGGCTGACTGGAGGAGATGGTGGCTGCTCAATGCCAAGCCAAAACTCAGTTACTCCTGTAATCAACAAAGATGTGGACTAATTGAACCTCACTGAATGTTTCCTGTGGTTCTTGTTTTACTGATATGGTGGGGTTCACGGTCCCTGGGCACACAGTTATGGAGAACTCGCTTATGATGAGCATTTGCACAACTCCTTGCTCGGGGACGATGTACAAAGAAGGGAAATGCACCCATTGACATGAGCCGTATCCTGGATCACATCCACATTTAAGCTGGGTCACACCAGTGGCTTTCTACCATACTCTCTCTCTCTCTCTCTCTCTCGTAATTTCATGCACATTGTTTTAAAAGGAGGAAGTGAGGAGGAGGTGCAGGGGAGAGGAGGAGGAGGAGAGAATAGGGAAGAAAGAGAAAGGAAAATCAAACATGCCCCAAGAGAAAGATCAGATGGGTAGCTCAGTCTGCTAGAGCATAGTGTTGATAACGCCAAGGTTGCAGGTTCGACCCTCCAATGGGAGAGCTGCATATTTCTGTATTGCAGGGGGTTGGACTAGATGATCCTCAGGGGCCTCCTGACTCTACAATTATACGATTCTGTGAATGCATGCAGTAAAAGAGGAAGGAAGGAAGATAAAGGTGGATCCCAGTTCTCAAAACACAGAGCACTGACATTGGATCCAGCATTAGCTGTGCCATAATCAGGTTGGTATTGGGGTGGCATAGAGAGCTCTTTGCCCTGCAGCTGATCATCTGCAGCATCATGCCCAGTGAAGAATTGGCCCTTGATCTAAGGAGATGAGGAACAATCTCCTAGCTGTGTGGCAAGATGTTCCAGGTGACCATCTCACCAAGTTGTAAACAGCTCCATGGTAAGTCAGCCCTTGCCAAAGAGTCGGTTTTCCATCCACAATCTTTGTTGCATTAAAATAAAAAAGTTTGATACCACATCACACCCTTAACCATGCCTCGATTCTGAAGCTAATTGGTGGCATGATATTCATTTTGTTATTATTTATTAAATGCACATACTGCCCTTTATCTGAGGATCACATGGTGGGTACCTACCTATCAAGGTCAAGTCAATGAAAGGGGACTCAGGTCCACCAAAACAGATGCTGCGACAATTTGTTCCCTTTAAGGTGCTATGAGACTCTCCCTTGCTCACACCGCAACAGACTAGCAGATAAACGCGTTTGCAAAGCAATTTCCCATAATACGATGCAATCCTTTCTTAGATGTTGATTTTATGAGTGTATGCATTTTACTCACGTTTTGCCCTAGTGTTTGCGTTTTAGTACACACATACTCGGCTGGAGAACTGTGTTGCAAAATTCAGAGAAGTTTACATTTTGGGAGGAGGACTGTTTTTCGGTTTGTGTATCATTTCGGAAAGAGCAAATTAGATAGGTTTGCCTTTCAATTCAAACTGCATCAAGTTTCTCTCCTCACTCCCCTCTCACTCCCATCGTGCCAATGCTTGAACTGCAAAGGGAAATATCTTTCAATGAAATCCAGAAGTCCCACTCCCAATTACAGCCAAATTATAGCTTGCAATGTCACCTTCCAAAAACAGCACTTAAGCCAATGCTAGTCCTACTCAGAGCAGACCCACTGAAATCAATGCCCATTACAAACTTGGACCCATTACTTGCAATGGGTCTTCTCTGAGTAGAACTCAGTTAGGTGCAACCCCTTGTTACTAAGGGGGGGGGCATGCCTTTTTTGCCTCCTTTGTTTTCTAGCAGAGCCCCACCCCCATTTCTTTGTCTCTCCCTTTCACACACACTTACCTGTATAGAGTAGACCAAGGCGGCAATACCAAGGGGTAAGCAGCAGCAGAGCATGGTGAAGATGGAGTAGATCAAGTAATCGGGTTCATTGGTGGGCTGTACAGGTGTGACGTAGACCGCCTGTGGAGGTTGAAGGACTGGGCCTAGGTGAGATCCCGCACTGGGTGGGCCATAGTAAGGCATTGCCCCATAGCCTGCTTGAGGTGCTGGCATTGCCCCATAGCCTGCTTGGGGTGCTGGCATTGCCCCATAGCCTGCTTGAGGTGCTGGCATTGCCCCATAGCCTGCTTTGGGTGCTGGCATAGCCCCATAGCCTGCTTGGGGTGCTGGCCCAGGAGGCTGTTTCAGTGGGTCAGGCTCTGCATAGGGATCTATTTCAGAGTAGGCAGGGGGGTTCTGAGCGGCAAGTGCCTTCTCACCCAGCTTTTCATGCTTTGGGTTGCTCATTGTGGTGCTTTCTTCTTCTTCCTTCGTCTTCTCAGTTCTGCAACCTCTGCTCAGTTCTTGGCGTTCCTCCATTGTGGCTGCCCTGGTTAGCTGCTGGGTGTCCTGCTCTCTCCCCCCCTCTGTTCTCCTACCCTCTGCCTTAAAGCCCTCTTCCTGTGGTCTGGGTCTTCTTTAAGGCGTGTGTGTTGCCTCTGCAATGCAAGCCAAGCTCTGGGTCCTTCCTTTGGAGACTCCTAGATACGCAGCTTCTTAGACAGGACAGATTTGCTGTGTCTAGCTTTCCAGATGAAGAGCGTGTGGAATGAGGGGCAAGCAATGAGCAAGAGACAGTTTTGTCCTGGGTATTGCAACACAGGTCCAGGAAGTGGAGGATATTTCCTAGCCATGTAGTGCTGTAGTTCTTTTCCGTCATACTTGCTGTGGAAATGGACACACACGGCAGAGAGATTTTGCAATTCTCAAGTATATGAGATGTCATCGGGTCTGCGCAGGTTCATAAATTTGGGGAGGCTAGTAGTTTCTCCCAGGCCAGATATACAGCTCCCACGTAGGAGAATCTGAGATGTGCCCTAATAAGGCATCCCTCTCTCTTTCATTATAAACTTTTAGGAAGAATTCAAAAACATTGCTGCTCCCTTAGGCATTTGTTGGCTGAAAGATCTGTTCTTGGCAACCCTGAAATTATTTGCTGTGGGAGTAGAGGCCTTTTTAAAAGATGTTTTTAACTCTTAAACTGGAGGGTTGTTTTAAACTGTTTTTGTAAGATTAAATTGCTTCATTATTGATGTGGTTGCTACTCCTTAGGCGGAAGGGCAGGATGTAAGTTTAATGAAATGAATGAATGAATGAATGTAGTCTAGTCTATGTTGAATCCTAAATTTGGGTAGAAATCCAAAGATACTGATCCTTTCATGCTAGAGAAGACAGCTGCTGAATGCCATGGGATGGAAAACATACAAATCCCATATATTATCTATCATCTATCTATCTATCTATCTATCTATCTATCTATCTATCTATCATCTATCTATCTATCTATCTATCATCTATCTATCTATCTATCTATCTATCTATCTATCTATCTATCATCTATCTATCTATCTATCTATCTATCTATCTATCTATCTATCTATCTATATCTATATCTATCTATCTATCTATCTATCTATCTATCTATCTATCTATCTATCATCTATCTATCTATCTATCTATCTATCATCTTCTATCTCTATCTATCTATCTATCTATCATCTATCTATCTATCTATCTATCTATCTATCTATCATCTATCATCTATCTATCTATCTATCTATCTATCTATCTATCTATCTTTGCAGGTAGCTATGTATGTATGTATGTATGTATGTATGTACGTATGTATGTACGTATACATGTATCTAGGCACTGGCTGTATTTGAACCCCACAGCAATATGCACATAAGGGTTTTCTACAAATGCTCTTACGACTCTGCTATATTTCTCCTTTTGTGCAAACGGCAGCAAGAAACAGTGATTCCTGGCATTACATCCTTGAGGGGGGGGGCGCGACTCCTTCTCCACTTCCTGCCATGGAGTGGAAAGAGGGTCGAAGCAGCTTCCTGCTGGTGGCTGCTCTAGGAGAAGGTGGAGTCTGAACCCCAGCCATTGAAGCCACCTGGCCGCCATGTTTGGCTGGATGTTCCCCTGGCTCCTCCAGATGTCATGAAGTCACATGTGTGGCGTCATGCGTGGCATTGCCCCCCTTCCATCGCCCTCCCAAGCTGGTGCAGGGTGGGGACCAAAGGTGGGCAAACTACCCCAGAAGGAGCACGGCATGTCCCCCGCCAGAGGAACTGCCCCCTACCCTAACACTGCATAAAACCCCAATCATATAATATGTATATTACATCACATCATTTTTATTTTTATCACTCCGAGAGGCTTCCAAAGCATCATACATGCGCATTATTTGCCTTTAAAACACCAGACTGGATGAATACAAGAGGTGGCATTTAATTCACGTTCAAGACACATCTTCCTCTTTCATGTTAAGGGAGGGGGACTGAAGCAGTTCAGGACTGGGGGCCAAATGTGCTGCTGTAAGCCTCACTATTTGAACCTCCGCCACACCTTCACTGCCCCTCTTCCGCAGAGCTTGGGCTGAAATTTGTGCGATGAGAATACGGGTATTCGAAGCACCGAATGCAACTTAATGTTTCCTATTTGGAACTGTATCGTTTGTGTATCAGAAAGGAATCACCCATGATGTCCATCCCTTGCTATGTGTAGAGCATATGGAAACTTTGATTACTTTCCCTTGGTAGAATAGAGTTTTGGGTCGTCCCCCCTTTATTTCCCCTTCTACACGGGTTCTGTTTCTGTTTCTCTTTCTCTCTCTTTTATTTATGTCTCACAATGTTTAGTGCACATAAAATTATGTACTTTTTGAACTTTCAATAAAGATGTCAAGAAAAGAAGAAGTGTAGACCATTTGAATATTTTAATTACTTTGCTTTGGTAGAATTGGGTTCACATTTTTCTGCCTTGACTTGTTTAACCATTACACCTATGTTATAAACAGTTTGAGTCATTACCTTCAACACATTCACCTACCCATGGCTTATTCTGGCTCCCGGCTTTATTTTATGTCTGCAGTTGTTCATCTCTGATCAATAATGATAAGTGGAGTTGGCATCCTGTCATCAGATCCTGTTTGATAACATTGCATTTTTCAGAATCTCTTATAACCCCCCCACACCCCCTTTTCAAAAATTATATATATACCTAGGAATAGATTTCCAATGTGTATTGGAATATATGACAGGATGTATTACAGAATATATTACAAATTTGCTCCTAGGTATTGCTCCTAGGCATTGCCTCGAAAGTGACAACATCAAGTGCTCTGAAAGTTCATGCACCCCATTGCTCGTCATTGCGTAAATTCAATAGAAATCATGTGATGTGCATGCATGTGTATACCAGCCCTTTAGTTATGGAATGAATCAAAATGCACAGCATCCAACCAGGCCTTCTCTGCTTATTGCAGTGGTGGGGAGGTTTTTCAGGGGGTGGAGGCTGTGCGGCAAATCCTTAGTTAGGCGGATGCTGATTTTTTGCATTTGTATACACAATTGCCATTATTATGACATACACAACAATTAAGACGCATCCCACCCCGAGGGCTGTGTTGGCCAAAATGCGCGCCATCTTGGAGTTTCTCTTGGCAGCTATGACATCTCCATTAAGGTTGGCTTCTCGGGTCTGTGGAGAAAGAGAGAGAGAGAGAGAGAGAGAATTGATGTAAAGATGTAAAGGAGAAGTACAGCTGTGCGTCATCGGCCTATTGCTGACAACTGTGCTCCAGAACTCCAGATAACCCTACTCAGTGGTTTCATGTAGATGTTAAACAGCAGGGGGGATAAAATCATACCCCAGGGGAATCCCACATTTCTGAGAAAGCTCATGACTGTGGTTGGGTGAAGGAGGACTAACAGGAAGCAGGAAAGATAAACAAAAGAAAAAGTGACCTTGCTAGAAGAGGTCATAAAGTGAGGAACAGAGGCGACACAGTGTGGTGGGGAAAATAACTACAGGGGAATTTGTGTTTTTAATTCAGCCTTTAATATATCCTATACTCAAGAGTATGCAGGAAGATGAAAAGAAATGAAAAGAACCACAGAAACACGGGGAAGGGAGTCAAAGTTTGAAATGCTAAAATTATGATGGAATAATTGTTGTAATATATCTAAATGAAAATTATAAAAAAAATTAAAAGATAAATAAATAAAGGATTCAGAGTTTTGTCTTCCCCAATGGCCAGAGGCTGTGGCAATGTCATCTTTGGACTTGGAAGACCCAATGCAAGCAGAGACTCCTTTGCTCCACCGTAACACAGAGGGCTGGGCCCATTTAAGCAAAACAACAACTCACACTGCTGGTAGAGGCAGCTGTGCTGATACTATATAGGGCGGAGCCTGCCTTTATTTCCTGCTGAAGCGTAGGAGATTCAGAGTTGCAGATCTTAGCTTGAGCCCCTCCAGCCAGCTGGAACCCTCCTGAACACAGACTTGATTCAGTCCCCTCTCTGAACCTCACCCTGCCTGAGTTTTGCCTTGACTGAGCAAAAGCAACATCTGAGCGATCCCCTTATCCTGTTCTCTTTGAAACCACCACCCACTTTGTGCTTTGACATTTCTCCTGTAGCACAACACCGTGGCTTAAATGATGGGTATTGTAGGTCTCAAATATAGGAGAAGGTCTCAAATATAGAAGAAATGTTGATAATTGCACACATGCATAAGTATATACACCACAATAGTACAGGAGAGCAATCCAAAAGCCAGTTTGGGTCTCCTAAAGACTCTAAATATTTCCTCTGCCTCCTTAATCCTTCTTGCCTGAGACAACGTAGGCAGGTAGCAATGAGGGGAAGTTCCTGAAGGGATTCCTCTCCTATACCTATTGAACCTCCTTTTTATTAAATGTCACTGTTTGCCCAGATGAGGGATGACTGACAGGCATCCTGATTGTCTTATCCAGGGGTCTGCAAGGTTTACCTTGCCTGGGTCGGTTCACTCCAGTAGAGATCCCTCTGTGGGCCAGATCGTGCAGACGCAATTTCTGGCGCTGCAAAAGCGAGTCCCTGTGCCAGTTTAGCACAACACACGGGGACTCGTCGAGCAGGTGGCTCGGTTTGGGGGTGGCTCGTGGGCTGGTTAAACGATCCACGTGGGCCATTTGTGGCCCATGGGCCTTAGGTTGCTGACCCCTGGTCCTATCAAATGCCTTTTCTGCAAACTGTGTCTGGAACTATGTAAATCTTGCCAAATCCTCAGGAATATGAAACCTTGGCCTACCTGAGCCACAGTTACCCCACATTATGTGTGATGTAATTTCTGACTGTTTGTAGAGGGGATGTCCTTCTTCTCCATGCCAAAATGAAAACCCTTAAAAGAGATGTTTTTTCTTGGTTCTGGGTCTCTCTACACTCCTTGCTAGGTGGGGAAGGAACTCTGTTGCAACAGAAAAATAAAGATCTGCCTTGCTTTCACTGCTTCCTGCCTCCATCCATTTATCTCTGACTGATCATAGATTAAGGGGACTCGGTCCCTTAAGAAGTTGGGCAGCAAAAGTCAACCACCCCTATTTTTCTCTATCAGTTGGGGTGAGGAAAGAGTCCCCAAAGCCTGAATCCAAAATCCCTAGGCTCCCCTGCTTCCTGAATTTCAGCCACACCACAAGCCGCCTTCTACAGACTGTTGCTAAAAGGAAATCAGAAAAGGTCATGGGGCCTTTTGGACCCCCTCTTATTATAGCACTACATCTCCCCCAGCCCAAAGAAAAAGAGGGAGGAGCTCACCTGCATAGAGTAAATTAAGGCAGCAATGCCCAGGGGGAGGCAGCAGCAAAGCATGGTACAGACAGAGTACACCAGGTAATCAGGTTCATTGGCAGGTGGACCACGAATGATGACGGTGGCCTGCGGAGGTTGAAGGATCGGAACCTGGTAGGATCCTGCACCAGCTGCACCATAATGTTGGTACTGGGGTGGCACAGCGTTAGAGGGCCAGCCCATGTGGCGGGGTTCTGGTCCAATAAGAGGTTTCGTTGGCTCAGGGTCTTCATGGGAGTCTTTGTCAGCGTAAGGAGGTGGATCCTGAGTGGTGGTGGAATCGTCTTTCAGCCTCTCGTAGTTGCTCATGGCGAACGGCCTGCTCTCCTTTTCCTCCCCTTTGCTCCCCGAAGCTGGCAGTCTGTGATTAGCTGCTGGGTGCTCTGCTCTTCCTCTCCTCAGCTGCACCTCTAACTCTTCTCCCCGCCTCCTGCTGCCTCCCTCCCTGCCTCTTTCTCTTTTGGTGACCTTTGGTCCTTTTTTGCCTAGGCGTTGGCTTTACATTGCTGGCTGTTCTGCTCAGGTGGCCGTTAGTCCGTTCTCTGTCTCTGGAATAGGACAGCAGCTCCACTGAGTCTTTCAACCCAGAAGTACGAGTGGCTGGGAACGAGGAAACTGGTAATGACTCCTCCCCTAAAACTGCATACACGCCAATCATAAAATATGTACAATCGTACCTTGGTTTTCGAACAGCTTAATTCCTGAACATTTTGGCTCCTGAATGTCGCAAACCTGGAAGTGACTGTTCTGGTTTGTGAACTGTTTTTGGAAGCCAAACATTCTACGGAGCTTCTGCAGCTTCTGACTGGCTGCAGGAGCTTCCTGCAGCCAATCAGAAGCCACAATTTGGTTTTTGAAAGTTTTGGCAGTTGAACGGACGACCGGAATGGATTCCATTTGACTTCCACGCTGCAACTGTATATTATATCATATCACATATTTATTTATATCACTCTGAGGCTCCCAAAGCAGAAGAAGAAGAAGAAGAAGAGTAGTAGTTTGGATTTGATATCCCGCTTTATCACTACCCTAAGGAGTCTCAAAGCGACTAACAATCTCCTTTCCTTTCCTCCCTCACAACAAACACTCTGTGAAGTGAGTGGGGCTGAGAGACTTCAGAGAAGTGTGACTAGCCCAAGGTCACCCAGCAGCTGCATGTGGAGGAGCGGAGACGCAAACCCGGTTCACCAGATTACGAGTCTACCGCTCTTAACCACTACACCACACTGGTATACAATTGCAGTATTGCCACACTGGCATACAATTGCAGTATTTGCCTTTGAAACACAAGACTGCATGAATAGAATAGATGGCATTTACTAATTAACGTTCAAAGTGCATCTTTTTCTTTAGCTTTAAGGCAGGGATGGGGTGCTTCAGGACTGAGTGACCAATGTCCTGCTCCAGGCCTCACTGTTTGGCCCCAGGCCACACCTTCCCTGCCTGGGTACTGTATGGCTTGGGCTGGAATTTGTGGGATGAGAAGACGGGTATGATAGGCATGTATTCCTGTTGGTGAAGCGTTGGGAGAATTTAGGCACCAGGCCCAGCAGTACTGAGAAGACGAGGCAGGAGGGTTAGAAAAGGGAGTTAATTGTCCGGATAACAAGAGGAAGGGAACAAAACTGGAGGATGGAGTCTTATATAGGAAGGTAAAACTGGGCAGGATGGTGGAATAATAATAATAATAATACTAATAATAATAATAATAATAATAATAATACTACTACTACTACTACTACTACTACTAATAATAATAATAATAATTTATTTATACCTCACCCATCTGGCTGGGTTTCCCCAGCCACTCTGGGCGGCTTCCAACATAATATTAAAATACATTAGTCCATCAAACATTAAAAGCTTCCCTAAACAAGGCTGCCTTCAGATGTTTTCTAAAAGTCTGGTAGTTGTTTTTCTCTTTGACATCTGGTGGAAGGGCGTTCCACAGGGAGGGTGCCACTACTGAGTAGGCCCTTTGCCTGTTTCCCTGTAACTTGGCTTCTCACAGCAAGGGAACCGCCAGAAGGCCCTTGGAGCTGGACCTCAGTGTCTGGGCAGAACGATGGGGGTGGAGATGCTCCTTCAGGTATACTGGACCAAGGCTGATTAGGGCTTTAAAGGTCAGCACCAACGCTTTGCATTGTGCTCAGAAGCGTACTGGGAGCCAGTGTAGGTCTTTCAAAACCGGTTTTATGCGGTCTCGGCTACTCCCAGTCACCAGTCTAGCTGCTGCATTCTGGATTAGTTGTAGTTTCCGGGTCACCTTCAAAGGTAGCCCCACATAGAGTGCATTGCAGTAGTCCAAGCAAGATATAACTAGAGCATGCACCACTCTGGCAAGACAGTCCGCGGGCAGGTAGGGTCTCAGCCTGCGTACCAGATGGAGCTGATAAACAGCTGCCCTGGACACAGAATTGACCTGCACCTCCATAGACAGCTGTGAGTCCAGAATGACTCCCAGGCTGCACACCTGGTCCTTCAGGGGCATAGTTACCCCATTCAGGACCAGGGAGTCCCCCACACCTGCCCGCCTCCTGTCCTCCAGTGAGGAGAGTTGCAGCTGGGAGCCAGAGGGGTAAGCCCATATCATGATTTTAAGGCAGGGGCAGACTTTGGTCTTTCAGATTTCAGAGACTCCCAGCCCAAGGCCAACATTTGGTAGAGTAGTGTAGAGCATTTGAATATTTTAATTACTTTGCTTTGGTAGATTAGGGTTCACGTTTTGTAACCTTGCCTTGTTTAACCATTACGCCTACATAATAAACAGTTCTAGTCACTCACTTCCACACATTCACATACCGATGGTTTATTTTGGCTTTATATTATGTCTGTATTTTTCCATCTCTGATCTATAATTGTAAATGGAGTATGCCTATTGTCACCAGATCCTGCTTGATAACATTATGTTTTTCAGAATCTCTTATAAACCCCATCCCCGTTTTTAAAAATTATTATGTGTACAGTGGTACCTCGGGTTACATACGCTTCAGGTTACATATGCTTCAGGTTACAGACTCCGCTATCCCAGAAATAGTGCTTCAGGATGAGAACAGAAATCGTGCTCCGGTGCCGCAGCAGCAGCGGGAGGCCCCATTAGCTAAAGTGGTGCTCCAGGTTAAGAACAGTTTCAGGGTAAGAACAGACCTCCAGAACGAATTAAGTACTTAACCTGAGGTACCACTGTATAGGAATATATGGCAGAGTATAGGATATTATATTTTTTCCCTTCCAAGAGCACTTGATGTCCCCTTTGGGACAATGCTTTGAAGTTCACACATCCCATTGTTGGTCATCAAGTAAAATAAACAGAAATCATGTGATGAGCCTGTACATGTGACTCAGTCTTTTAGCACTTCCTGCTATGGAATGATTCATAAAGCACAGCGTCCAGCCAGGCCTTCTTCTCAGTAGTGCAACGGTGGGGAGGTCTTTCGAAATGTGGAGGCTCTGCAGTGAATCCTCAGTCAAGTGGGTGCTGGTTTTGCAGTTGCCAATACAAAGTTGCCATTATGGTGATATACATAACGAAGCAGAAGCAGCCCATTCCGAGGGCTGTGTGGTTCAAGATGCGAGCCATCCTGGAGTTTCGCTTGGCAGCTATCACATCTCCATTAAAGTTGCCTTCTTGGGTCTGTGGAGAAAGAGAGTGAGAACTGATGACAGATGTAAAGGAGAAGTAGACCTGTGCATCACCAGCAAGGTACAGTGATACCTTGGTTGTCGAACGGCTTGGCTCCTGAACAAATCGGCTCCCGAACGCCTCAAACCTGGAAGTAAGTGTTCTGGTTTGTGAATGTTTTTTGGAAGGTGAACTTCTGACGTGGCTTCTGTGGCTTCCAATTGAGTGCAGGAAGCTCTTGCAGCCAATTGGAAGCTGCACCTTGGTTTTCGAATGGTTCTGGGAGTCAAAGGGACTCCCGGAATGGATTAAGTTCGACAACCAAGGTACCACTGTACTCCAAAACTCCAGATAACCCCATTCAGTGGTTTTATGTCGCTGTTAAACAGCAGAGGGGATAAAATCAAACCCAGAGGAACCCCACACTGAAGAGCACTCCCTGAGCATCACCTTCTAGAAATGACCATCCAAGTAGGACCTGGGCCACCATGAAACAGGCCACCCACCCCTAACTCAGAAAGCTGCCCAGCAGCTCAGACAAAGCCTAGTTTGTGAAAACAAATGCCCCAAAGAATCCATGCAACTTTAAAGTGGTCATCAGAGACTCTTTCCTTTTTTCGCTGCAACAGGCTAACCCAGCTGTCTCTCTGGATGTTGGCTGCCTAAGAGTCATCCTGCACCTGCCGGGGAACAGGAGTCAAGTCCTCTTTAGGTGGTGAGGTGCAGGACTCCGAAACAAAAGGAGGAAGGCTACGCAGGAGACACCCCAGAAACATTGCTACCCAAAGTGCCTGTGGGGCCAGTGTCTGACTCCTCATTGGTCAGAGGCTGTGACAATGTCACACTTAGACTTGGAGGACCCACTACAAGCAGGGAATCCTCTGCTCCACCATAGCAACAAGAGACCAATGCAGAGGACTGGGCCCCTTTAAGCAAAACAAAAACTTTCAGCGCTGGCAGAGGCAGCTGTGCTGAGGCTCATTTTATTTCCTGCTGAAGCGTAGGAGATTCAGAGTTGCAGATCTTAGCTTGAGCCCCTCCAGCCAGCTGGAACCCTCCTGCACACAGACGTGATTCAGTCCCCTCTCTAGACCTCACCCTGCCTGAGTTTTGCCTTGACTGAGCAAAAGCAACATCTGAGCGATCCCCTTATCCTGTTCTCTTTGAAACCACCACCCACTTTGTGCTCTGCCATTTCTCCCTGTCCCTGTGGACAACACGGTGGCTTGAATTATTGGGGTGGAGAAAGGGCCCCCAAACCTTGAAATCCAGAAGCCTTAGGCTCATCTGCCCCCCTGAATTTCAGCTACAACACAAGCCACCCTGTAGCCTTCTACAGGCCTCTGCTACAGGGGCCACCAGAAAAGTCCATGGGGCCTATTGGACTGCCTGTTATTATAGCACTACATCTCCCCCAGCCCAAAGAAAAAGAGGGAGGAGCTCACCTTTATAGAGTAAACTAAGGCAGCAATGCCCAGGGGGAGGCAGCAGCAAAGCATGGTACAGATAGAGTAGGCCAGGTAATCAGGCTCCTTGGCAGGTGGACCACAAATGATGACGGTGGCCTGCGGAGGTTGAAGAATCGGAAACTGGTGGGATCCTGCACCAGCTGCAACATAATGTTGGTACTGGGATGGCACAGGGTTAGAGGGCCAGCCCATGCGCCTGGGTTCTGATCCAGAAAGAGATTTAGCTGGCTCAGGGTCTTCATGGGAGTCTTTGTCAGAGTAAGGAGGTGGATCCTGAGTGATGGGTTCCTCTTTCAGCCTCTCGTAGTTGCTCATGGTGAACGGCCTGCTCTCCTTTTCCTTTTTGGTGTTCCCTGAACGCAGCCTCTAAAGTCTTTTGCTCTGCTCCTCCTCAGCTGTCTGTGATTAGCTGCTGGTGCTTTACACTTCCTCCCCTCGGCCGCCCCCTCCAGCGCTTCTCCCCCTCCCCTCCCCTCTTCCTCTTTCTGCAAACTTCGGTCTTTTTTTTTGTCTGGGAACTGGCTTTACATTGCCGGCTTCTCTGCTCAAGTGACCCCTAGTCTGGGCTCTGGCTGTGGAAGAATATAACAGCAGCTCCACCAGGTCTTCCAGCCCAGAAGTATGAAGGGCTAGGAATGAGGAAATTGGTAACCCAAAGCAGTCAGATTAATACTGAGTGTGGCCTTCACTTTCCTCATATTTTCTGTGTGACTGAATGGACACACCATTTCAAAGCTGCAAATGGGCACATGCTTCCATATTTTATGTTATCGCAAAGTCAGAAACTGAGGCAAAAATTGGTTGTTGGAACCAGGTCTGGTGCTGGAAATTGCTTTAGTAGTCCTGGCAGAATTGCCAAAAACCTTCCTTTTGTTTTGGAGACCGGCTGGTCACTCTCAATGAGTAGTTTTTCGAATGGCTAGGAAATGCATGAAAGAGGGATGCCTCTCTCTGTCCACCAATCTTATCTCCAAGTACTCCTGACCGGGAACACGTTGTAGTCCAGGTTTCAGCAAACAAAGGACAGATTGCCTTTTGAGAAAGAGATAAATGTTGCTTCCAGCTGACTCGCTTATTGGCCACCCATCCTGATTTGTTTGCACAAAGTTGATGGGGGAAATTAAGATGACAGCAGCTGTTTATTAAGCAATCACTCGTCCTGCTTGTTAGATCAGAAAACATTATCCCAACTCAGATCTCATTTTCTACCATAGACATTCTCAGATCAATATGGTACAAAAACCAAAGCAAGGATCCCCAGCACAGGGAAGCTGTCTGCAGCGCCCTAAAGCTGGTGCTGGAACTGGGACTGTTGGAGGGGCTGTAGCCGTGGCGGCTGCTCCTGTAGCCCATGCTCTTAGGCATGGGTAGGCAAACTAAGGCCCGGGGCCCAGATCCGGCCCAATCGCCTTCTAAATCTGGCCCGCGGACAGTCCTGGAATCAGCGTGTTTTTACATGAGTAGAATGTGCCCTTTTATTTAAAATGCATCTCTGGGTTATTTGTGGGGCATAGGAATTCCCCCCCAAAAAATATACTCTGGTCCCCCACAAGGTCTGAGGGACAGTGGACTGGCCCCCTGCTGAAAAAGTTTGCTGACCCCTGCTCTCAGGCTTATCCGCACTTAACTTTTTCCTAGCTCTTTTCAAATCTTCACATTGAAGTGTGGTTCCCCCCCCTTCCCAGCAAAAACCCATACTTTAGCGCTCGGTCAGTTCGGATTTTCCATGCTTTGCGGTTTGCTCCGATTGAGCTTGAAACAACCAGTTTTCCAGAGTGTGGATAAACCTTTAGTAAGAACGGGTTTAGGGCTGTGTGACACGAACTGGGCGCTGAGCCAGGGGGGAGCCTTTTGAAATCCGGGTAAGGGAGACTTTAGGACCCTGTCAGAAGCTTGCGCCTCCTTCCTAAAGTTTGGAAAGGCCTTTGGGGGGTGGCGAAGTCCAGTGTTGGCGTCGCACAGGGCCCCCATGTTACCCGTCTCCGCCACCGCCCTTCCTTTTACGCGTCGTTTTTGCAGAGCCGGAGTCTGAACGGACGGCACCCGCTGCTGCGTGACCAGCTCCTGCCGGCGCCACGTCGGGGTGTGTGAGCAAGAGAGAGAGAGGAAGCCATGGGTGCGGGGCTTGTGTGGCCCCGTGGCTTCCTGTCGCTGGAGCCCAGGAAGAGAAGCTGGGGAAGGCAGGGCGAGGATGGGGAGAAACAGAGTGGGCATTTAGGGTTGCGAAGGAGAACTGGGGATATCCCTAGGTTAGTTGCATAAATGACTGTCCCGCTGGCCTTTACCGTTTGGCGCAAAAGCGCAGCAGGAGCGGGCGAGGGGGACGGAGGGAGAAAGCAGGGAAAGGCACCGAAACTTCCACTCTTTCCTAGCCTTTTCTCCTACCACCCCACACTTGGGAGCGGTGGGGATGTTGGGGGGGGGGAGAGGGAGGGTGAGCAGCCAACTGGAGGAGAGGCTCACAGAAGCTGGAGACAGATCGGTTTGCAACGCATGTGGAAATGGGCGCACTGCGCATCTTTACATTCGTGTAAGAAGAACGCCTGGCGTGCTCTGGTCCATGGGGTCATGAAGAGTCGGACACGACTAAACGACTAAACAACAACAACAACAAGAACGCACAAGCACGTGCACAGCAGGCAGTGCACTCACCACCTCGCTCCCAAGACAGCCCCAGGGAGATTGGCGTGTTGCACGATCTTAATTCAGATCACAGCCGTGCAAGCGGCTCACTCATCCCTCCAACTGTCCCTCCTCACTTTTTGCAACGTTTTGAAAGCTGATCTCTCTTTTCCCCACCCCAGCACCATTTAATCCAGAGTGAAGGTAAAACCACCCATAGGATTGCTTTTGTTGGGTGGTCTGAATGGCTAAGAAATGCATGAAAGTGAGAGACCTCTCCCTCCCCGCCCCCCCCATTATTCCTGCTCTGAATGGAAGGAGCGTCTCCATCCCCATCCAGTGCCCTGTGAGAAGCCAAGTTACAGGGAACCAGGCAGAGGGCCTTCTCGGTAGTGGCACCTGCCCTGTGGAACGCCCTCCCACCAGATGTCAAAGAGAAAAACAACTACCAGACTTTTAGAAGACATCTGAAGGCAGCCCTGTTTAGGGAAGCTTTTAATGTTTGATGGACTATTGTATTTTAATATTTTGTTGGAAGCCGCCCAGAGTGACTAGCGAAACCCAGCCAGATAGGCAGGGTATAAATAAATCATTATTATTATTGCCTAGGTTTCAGAAAATGAAGGCCAGATTGCCTTTTTAGATAGAGATAAAGGTTGATTCCTAGCAGAAGAGTAGTGGCAAGTTCGTAAGTGGAGGGTCCTTTCATTGTAGCCTCCCCTCCCAGCCATGCCCCTTCTAAGACTTCTGCAATAATAATAATTAGGGTTGCATTGCCATGATCAATGCAGATCTCCACGTGTTGCCTTTCAGTTAGGGGTCCTATTTCCTGTGTGTGTGTGCATGGGCAGATGATTTGGAATGTTCCAATATCTTCTTTCAGAGCCACTTAAGTTGTCTCTTCCTTGAAGCCCCACTGCATGGAACAAAACTTGCACACTGTTCTCTTGAAGTGAAAGCACCTTGTATTTCCAGTGTCCCTTAAATGTTTCTTCCCACACACCTTCTCCAGAGTGACCCTAGGAGCCGCTCCTAACTCACCTCTTTCCATTCTGATGGGTTATAATCAACACAAATGGTGAAAAGAGCTCTTTTTTGGTGCTTAAAAAATCCCCAAACCCCTCCCATGCTGTTCGGGAGGCTCTGGGACACTGGAGACAGAGACTGTGCTGGGACTTTCCTGCAGCAGGGCGTAATGGGTATTTTGGGTATTTGACCTCCTGTGACCCTTGACCACTGCTGCTTCTAGATGACCTGTTTATTGCACCATTCACCCTGATATATTTGCACAACAATTGCAGGGGAACGTTGATGTCATCAGCTGCTAATGGAACATTTATATGGTGCATGCTTTTATTTGTATGGCGAAAGGTTAGGTGACGTTGCAGTGCATTGCCTCATTTCTTCCTGTATTGCAAAAAGTCTGATTATTGGGGGAAGTGGGTTCATTGCAGAAGAGCATCAAAACTGCTGCCATGTGATTGTTGGACCCTCCCTCCCCCCCGGAATAAGGACAGTCTAGATTGAAGGACAGCCGCTGAAGTTTGGAGGTTTCTCCCTCTCTCATTACACTAGAACTCATGGATCTCCAATAAAGCTGAAAGTTGGCTCATTAAGGAGAGATAACAGAATGTACTTCATGCAGTGCTTAGTCCAGCTATGGAACTTGGGATGGCCACAAACTTAGATGGCTTTAAAGAAGAGGATTAGACAATTTCATGGAGGAGAGGGCTATCAAAGGCTGTTAGGCATGATGGCTTTGTTCTGCCTTCACAGCTGAAGTCAGTGAATCTGCCGTGAAGGTGTCATGATTAGGCATGTCAGGGAATTCTGATGAAAACAGAAACGAGAGCGGAAATGGACAATGTTGGCTCATTTGCCCCCATATCTGTAATGGAAACCCCTCTAGCAGGTTAAGTCAGTGTTCCCTGTTGTTGCTGCTTTCAATCTACAAATTACGTCCCCTCTCCCCACCCCCCATTTGTGTTGTGTTTTCTTTGCGTCAAAATGAATGGGGTGGAATGACTTAATGACAACATAATGTAAGTAATTTATGTAATTTCACCACAGTGGACAGTAAGACGAATAACTAGGGCTGCCATACGTCTGGGAAAACACAGACATGTCCTCTTTTGGGGGTCAACATGCCCATCAGGGTGGATTTGTACATTTTAAAGGAAATGTCCGGGATTTTTTTTTGTTTTTGGCAGTGGCTTGGGCTGGGGTGGCTTGGGCTCAGGCTGCTCTTGCATGCTATTGCCGCTGCCAGCCCGAGCCGGTGAAAGAGGCACATGGACGCTCTGCATGCCATGGCTGCTGACAGTCCAAGCTGAGGAAAGAGGTGCACCCACACACCTCTTTTCCCGGCTCAGGCTGTCCTCTTTTTTGCTCTTCAAAATATAACAACCCTAGAATAACACACTTTGGGGCAGAAGGTGAACTGCAGCAGAATGGAGAAAGAGCTGCATGTGACAGATAATGAACATTTATCCCACTGTCCTTTCTCTATGTGGAACCAATAGCAGTTTTGTGAAAACATCGTACAACACAGAATCATGGTGATCTCATTGTATATTTTATTTATTTTGCCTCAGATAGCTCTCTAAGCATCTCACAAGTGCCTTCTTTGCATTAAAAACATATGGGATAAGTTATCGCAGGATCTTCTTCTTTTTCTTCTTCTTCTTCTTTGGCGATCACTCGTAGTCGAGTAAGATTGTCTTACATAAACACGGTTTTAACAATCAGTCCGTAGGTGACTGTGCAGGCCAATTCTGGATCCACACGTCCTTCCACAGTGGGGACATTGGTTTCCGGGTGGGAGCTGATCACGGTGTGGATTTGCCAAGCGTGCCTTCCTCTTAGCACATTTCTCCCTTGCATTCTGAGTTCAAGTGTCTTCAAAGCCTTTGGTAAAGGCTGTTCCCCAACTGGAGCGCTTGCAGGCCAGTGTTTCCCAATTGTCGGTGTTCATACTACATTTTTAAAGATTTGCCTTGAGACAGTCCTTAAACCTCTTTTGTTGACCACCAGCATTACGCTTTCCATTTTTAAGTTTGGAATAGAGTAGTTGCTTTGGAAGACGATCATCAGGCATCCACACAACATGACCAGTCCAACGAAGTTGATGTTGAAGAATCATTGCTTCAACACTGGTGATCTTTGCTTCTTCCAGTACACTGATATTAGTTCATCTGTCTTCCCAAGTGATGTGTACAATTTTTTGGAGACACCGTTGATGGAATCTTTTGAGGAGTTGGAGATGGCATTTATAAGATTCCATCAACGGTGTCTCCGAAAAATTTTACGAATAAGGCCAAAGAAGTAGGACGATGGGGAATGGGATGGGTGTCAAGGATAGGGCTTGGGTAGAAATTTGTGCTCTGACAACTGTTGTGTTACATGCATGTCCCAATTATTATCTGTGAAATGTTGGAAGAATGGTCAGCAGTGAAGAGGAACAGGACAAGACCAGAAGACTCTCGAAATCGAAATAACTCTGGGTGGGAGAATGAGAGAGGGGAGAGATACTCCTGGAAGGAGTTTGAGATCTTTGGGTATCACAGAGCTGGCTCACACATGATGTTCATCGCTTGACATTGTAAATCTATCCCTAGTTAGAACAAGGGTATGGGAGTCAGCTCAGAACATACCACTTTACAGAACGATTCAAAGAGCATGACGTCAATTTAGGAGGACTTCTCAGACTTGGGCATCTTGGGCAAGGAATGACTTTTAGCATATGAACGTTGTGTATCCTCAGGGGCTGATGGTTGGCACTTCGATTATCTGGTGAGAAATATTCATCCAGAAGATGATGTATATAATCAGGCACCCAAGACCCACTCCGAGTGCCGTGTGAGCCAATATGAGTGCCACCCTGGAGTTTCGTCGAGCGCTTATGTAGTTTCCATTTTGGTTGGCGTTTTGGGTCTGGGGACAAAGAGAACAAACTGGATCAGGGGAGGAGCACACTGACCCCTTATCTCTTCCCGAATGTGTGTGGCATAGTGCGAAATCAGACACCCATGTACAAAGTGGTAACTTGCCCTAGTCTGCAGGGGCATAACTGACCACTGTAACATCATGGCAAGTGAAGAACCATCTCTCGAACCAAAGATACAAGGCGGAGGTTCGATTCTCCTTGCTGCTTGACAGGAGGTTCCAGATGATCATCTGGTCCAGTGGTAACATGCAGTACTGTCATGGTAAACATTGCCTCTTGTCAAAATGCAATGTTTTCTGATTTATCCGCACTCCCAGATGCAGTAACTTACCGTATCAGCAAAACCCAGACAAAAGAAACATTCAGAACAGTGCTGCACACAGCAAATAGTTCCAGCTATGGAATTCACTCCCTCAAGAGGGAGTGATGGCTTAGGTAAAGGTAAAGGTACCCCTGCCCGTACGGGCCAGTCGTGACCGACTCTGGGGTTTCATGCTCATCTCGCTTAAGAGGCTGGGAGCCAGCGCTGTCCGAAGACACTTCCGGGCCACGTGGCCAGCGTGACGAAGCTGCTCTGGTGAGCCAGCACCAGCGCAGCGCACGGAAACGCCGTTTACCTTCCCGCTATAAAGCGGTACCTATTTATCTACTTGCACTTAGGGGTGCTTTCAAACTGCTAGGTGGGCAGGAGCTGGGACCGAACGACGGGAGCTCACCCCGCCGCGGGGATTCGAACCGCCGCCCATACGATCGGCAAGTCCTAGGCACTGAGGTTTTACCCACAGCGCCACCCGCGTCCCTAGCGCCACCCGCGTCCCTAGTGATGGCTTGGATGGCTTTAAAAGAGGATTTTAAGGTAGTTAAGACTTAATAGTGGCTACTAGCCACAATAACCAGCCATAGTCACTAATTGTTGCTGGAAATTCCAACTGGGGAGAGGGCTGCTGTGCTCTTGTCCTGCTTGCAAGCTTCTAGTGCGCATCTGGTTGGCCACAGTGAGAACAGGATTCTGGACTAGAAGGGCCACTGGCCTGACCCAGCAGGCTTTTCTTAGGTTGTTATGGATTCATGGGTGGCATGCCACAGCTCAGATAAAACACAGAGGGGGGCTCTGTTCCATAAAAACAGTTGCCACCATAAATGGGCTTGCCTTTAAGCTTCCACGAGCTTCTCTCTTTGTTTTGCTGCAACATATTGTCTCAGCTACCAGGGCTAGGCCTAGACATTTTGCTGCCTGTGGGCCAGACGGCACCGTCGTATTTCAGTGTATGGAATCCAGCTATACTGGCAACAGCATTTTGCTTCAACACAGGTGATGGTACGGTGTCCTCAGCCTAGATCAGGAATAGGCAAACTTGGCCCTCCAGATGTTTTGGGACTACAACTCCTATCATCCCTAGCTAACAGGACCAGTGGTCAGGGATGATGGGAATTGTAGTCCCAAAACATCTGGAGGGCTGAGTTTGCCTATGCCTGGCCTAGATTGTCTCAGAGCCCTTAGCCACAGTGGAGCTAGCTGGGTATTTTGCCCTGTGTGAACCCTCAAGGGGGAAGCCTCCACCCAGTTTCCCTCTGAGTAGCCTAGATTGTCTCAGAGGAAAACTGAGCGGGGGCTTTCCCCTCGAGGGTTCACACAGGGCAAAATACCCGGCTGGCTCCCCTGTAGCTAAGGCCCTGTTTTAGCTCTAACTAGGGGACTCTTAACAACTCTCAGCACCAGGGTTTCCTCCCCCCCCCCCAGCTGGATCTCACCAGAACCGAATTCTGGCACCTCTCAGGTGGGTGCCATTGCCTTCATAAGAGAACAAGGGAGACATTTGTGGTGAGTTCCAGCGCCTCTTTTTCTAGAAAAATAGCACCCTTAAGAAGTTACAGTCCCCAGGATTCTTTGGGGGAGGGGGAAGCCAGGACTGTTTAAAGTGGTATGATACTGTTTTAAGTGTATGGTGCAGATGGGGCCTTAGATGTCAGCACAGGCAGCTGTCCCTGCCCTTTAAGGTCCCCCCAGTCCTCTCTCAAACACTCACTCAGCTCCCACTCACCTGAATCGAGTATGCAAGGGCAGCAACACCCAAGGGGAGGCAACAGCAGAGCATGGTGAAGATGGAGTACGCCATGTAATCCGGTTCACGGCTGGGCTGCACGGAACTGATGACGATGGTTTGCGAAGTTTGTGCTATGCTGGCTGGACCATAGTAAGGGGTGTACTGGTGTGGCATAGCGGGAGTTCCTCTGCTGCCCGTGGTGGGTGCCATCCCAGCAGAAGGACCAGGCTCCTCGTTCTTTGCAGAGTAGGGCGGTGGATTATCCATGTGCAGAGCATTTTCGTTCATCCTCTCATATTTGATGTCACTCATGGTGCAGGTCTGGCTCTCCTTTCTCCACTGGCTTGCTGTTCTGCTAGTGAAGTCTCTCTTCCTTTTCTCTCGGTATCCCTGCTTCTTGGGTTGTCTGCTGCGTGACCTGCAGTCCCCGTCTCTCCTCGGTCGGTTGCACCTCCAGCCCTTTCCCCTCCCCTTTCCCCTCCTCCTGTCGTGGTACCAGGCCCACTGCTCTGAATATTCTTTCAGAAGAGTCCTTGCTCTATAACCTAGGCTGATCTGCTTGGCTCTCTTGCTTTAGGGGAGCTGTGTGCAATGCTCTGCCCTTGGACAAAACAACTGGGCACCGTGGTCCTCCCTCCCACCCTGCAAAATGTGTGGGTGTTTGGAATGAGGAATTAGATAATGAATAACCCCAGCCGATTGATACCAAATGTAGAAACGCCAGGGAGCATTTGATATCCCCTTATCCTTCCCTAGGAATGGAGGATAAATAAATTTTTCTCTGCATTTTAATGCAGAACTACCTAAACTGTACTTCTCAAACCAATATACACTTCTCCAGATTTTGCAAAGCATTTCTCCAGCCAAACAATACCCATATATTAGGGTGAGAGGTGCCTAAAAACGCATGTTTCAGTGAAAATGATATACAAAACTGCATTATACGTTGGGGGAAATTGCTTGCAGAAATATGTACATTAGTCAAAATGTGTTTATTGAGAGAAATTAACACTGAAATGCTGGTATATATACAGATAGATAGATAGGTGGGTAGGTAGGTAGGTAGAAAATTTATTACGGTCGGAGACCACCTTATAAAACACACTTGGGGGTACAATCCCAGAAGGAAAACAAATATTTAAAAGAATGTACAACAATAAATTTAAAATTTATAAATGTGATAAGCTTAAAACTTTAAGATAAGCTACTGCAGAGAGATGACCCAGAGTCACCCATGGAACCGAGTTTGGGGATTTTCTTAACGAACTAGTTTGAGTCAGGGGATGGTCTGCACCTGCAGATCTGTACACAGAATCTGGCGACCATCCGGGTCATCTTATGATCTTTGCCTAACAGGAAAAGGTCTAATTTTTGCTTTTCCGGGAGGTCAGTGAGCCTCACCAGCAGGGGATCAATGGTCTCACTATGTGCCTCTTCATAAAAGGGACACCTAAAGAACAAGTGCTCTGGGCTTCCTATATCCCCCAATGAACAGGCGCAAAGTCTCTGAGCATATGGGACTTTTTAAAAGGATCCTTCCAGGACCGGTGAGGGCAGAGCATTTTTGGTTACGAGAAAGAAGAAATATGCTGCCGTGAAATCGAGAAAGAGAGAGCCACACCGGCAGCATATTTCTTCTTTCTCGTAACCAAAAATGCTCTGACACACACACACACACACAGGTTTTGGGAAAAAACTACTAATTGCTGCAGAAATATGGAGAACTGAACTTAAGTTTGGAGAAATGAGAAACTTGGGTCACGGTCACACTGTACACGTAAAGCACTATTTTACCACTTTAAACAGGCATTGGTTTCTCCCAAAGGCCCCCCCCCACAGTTTATTAAGGGCATTGAGAGTTCTTTGGAGACTGATTCTCCCCTCCCACAGCTACAATTCCCAGCAGGGATGCCAACTTGAATAAAATATGGCACCCACCCACCATTTGAATGGGAATTCCCTTCAACTTTGGGAGGGGGTGGCCCCCTGAAATATATTTTTTTGGGGGGGGCAAAGGGACTCGGCTCCTACAATTCCCCCTGACAGGGTCGGCCTGGACTTGCTGCCTCCTCAGCAGTCCCTCCCCAATGTTGCCTCCACATCAGCCTCTTGGCAAATAGGAGCTCCTGCTGGGATCCTCACAGCCTTTGTTCCTTCACCCCCAACCCTTCTCAATGTTGATTTGATTCCCTCCCTTGTTCCTGGTGCAGGTCTTCATTCCTCCTTCCTCCCGTTTTTGCAGTTTGCCTCAGGTGCCAAAATGTCTTGGGACAGCTCTGTTTCCCCCGCGAAAGGGATCGATTGTTAAACCAGAAGTCGGAGATTTGGGGCTGCTGGCCCTATGCTGTGGGACCTTCTTCCAGCAAAGTTTCAGGCATTCTCACTTTTGATTTCAGTTTTCCCTTGGATACTTTTGTTATTTTATGTTGACAGGTCTATGTGGCCGCTTGAAGCTTTTTTCTTTTTTTCCTGACTAGCCAGGTATTGCTTTACGTTTTGTTGTCGTGAACCACCCAGAGATTGCAGTATATAAATAAAAGGACACCTGGAGAGCTTTCGAGAACTAATGCTGAGTTTCCCTCCTCCCTCCCCATTGCTTTTCTTTTTGTGCCTTTTAGATCGCAAGCCTGAGGGCTGAGATTGCTTTGTTTGGCTTTTATGAAATTTACCTGTGAGCTGCTCTGGGAGCCATTTTTGGCTGAAGAACTGAGCAAAGCAATTATAAATCAATGCATGCAGACATAAATTAGCAGCAATGGCAACAAGGAACCTCCATGCTTAGGGGCACGATATCTTAGAAGACCAATTGCAGTGGGGGCAACAGTGAGGGATGGGATTTCTCTTTATGCCCTGCTTGTCACCTTCTAGAAGAAGGGATGGGAAATCTCCGGTGGTCCTCCAGTTGGTGTTGGATTCCACCTCTTATCAGAGATGAGGAGAGTCAGAGTCCAACAACAAGCCAAGGGACAAAAATTCCCCTTCTCTGTTCCAGAAGCTTCTGAGCAACACTTCTGGAAAGAGAGCCTTGTGCTGGACAGCTGTCTGATGCAATAGCTGTGATGCAACAGGAGACTTCTTATCATAGCTATAATGAAACTTGTTTTCCACAAATTCGGTGACATTATATTCAGGGTCATTAACCAGCAGTCCGTTCCTAGTTGCACTTCTCCCTTTATCTCGTGACTTTTGGATTGAACATGGAGGGCTCAGGCTACAGGATCAAGAGAAAAGTCCTGTGAAAAGCCCCCCCCCATACATCCATTGCTGGCTGCTGTCCAGTGGAACTGGTAGGGCAGAATGCAGGGAGACCCTCACTAGGTGGCAGTAGATGACTTATTCCTAGTATGACCATTGATCCATCTAGCTCAGTATTGTCCACACTGATTGGCAGTGACTCTCTAAGGTTTCAGGCAGGGTTCTGTCCCAGGCTTACCTGAAGATTCTGGGGATTAAACCTGGAGTCTTCTGAAACAAAGAATTTATTTATGTATGCAACAACAGCGGCAAGAGTCTTGATAGCACAAGGATGGAAGAATGAGGAAACCCCGACAAAAGAACAGTGGCAAGAGAATGAAAATGATATATAGGTGGTACATAACCCCAGTCAAGCTTGCGAAAATCTATCACTTGCCCGATAACAAATGTTGGAAATGTAAAGAAACTGAAGGTACATTTTTTCACCTTTGGTGGACGTGCCCAAAGATTAAGGCTTTCTGGGAAATGATATATAATGAACTAAAAAAGGTATTTAGGTATACCTTCTTGAAGAAACCAGAGGCCTTTCTCCTGGGCATAGTGGGCCAAATGGTGTTAAAAAAGGATAGAACTTTCTTTATGTATGCAACAACAGCAGCAAGAATACTCATCGCAAAGTATTGGAAGACACAAGAACTTCCCACGCTGGAGGAATGGCAGATGAAATTGATGGACTATATGGAATTGGCGGAAATGACTGGCAGAATCCGTGACCAGGGAGAAGAGTCGGTGGAAGAAGATTGGAAGAAATTCAAAGATTATCTTCAGAAACATTGCAAAATTAAGGAATGTTAGAGTGATGTTGGATTGAAAATAAGTGGTTTCCAGCTGTACAGGTTAAAGATAAGGATAGATTAAGATTAAAGATTAAGATTAAAGATGTTTAAAGAAATGGAAATTTGATAATAAAAGGGAAAAATTTAAAGCTATATGACATTAAGAGTAAGGATTAGGTTTAAAAAGTTGAAGTTATATATTTTAACATTTTATTAAATTAAAGATTGGGATTAAAAAGTGGAAAAGAAACTGCTGGATAAATAATGTGGATTGGAATACAAAAGAGGGAGGTATGAGGAAGTCCAGAAAATAAGTAATTTAAAATTGGAAATGGAAAAGAGAGTTTGTTTTTAATTGTTATGTTTTGTGTTTTTATTGTTGAGTTTTGTATTGTTTTTTGTGTGTGTTGTTTTTCTTTTTTCTTTGTTTAAAACCTTAATAAAAAATTATTAAAAAAACAACAACAATGGACAAAAGGAAAAAACAGCTCAAAAAAAAAAGGAAAAAAAAAAGAACAGTGGCAAGAGAAATTGATGAACTATGCAGAACTGGTCAAACTGACATACAAACTGCCAGATAAGGACAACTGTGACTTTAAAGAAGAACGGGAACTTTTCACAAATTAGTTAAAAAGACAACAAAATGAATTGGACTCCTTGGCAGGTTTTGAATAAACATACACTTATTTATTGATTGATAACATGGTAGACAGATAATGTGAGGATTTGTAGAAGAAGAAGAAGAAGAAGAGTTTGGATTTGATATCCCGCCTTTCACTCCCTTTAAGGAGTCTCAAAGCGGCTAACATTCTCCTTTCCCTTCCTCCCCCACAACAAACACTCTGTGAGGTGAGTGGGGCTGAGAGACTTCAAAGAAGTGTGACTGGCCCAAGGTCACCCAGCAGCTGCATGTGGAGGAGCGGAGATGCGAACCCGGTTCCCCAGATTACGAGACTACCGCTCTTAACCACTACGCCACATTGTATACAGTGGTACCTCGGGTTAAGTATTTAATTCGTTCCGGAGGTCTGTTCTTAACCTGAAACTGTTCTTAACCTGAAGCACCACTTTAGCTAATGGGGCCTCCTGCTGCTGCCGCACCGCCGGAGCCTGATTTCTGTTCTTATCCTGAAACAAGGTTCTTAACCTGAAGCACTATTTCTGGGTTAGCGGAGTGTGTAACCTGAAGTGTATGTAACTCGAGGTACCACTGTAATTTTATAACATGCAGAGAATAATATGGGTTGAGAAATCAGAGAGAGGAGCTGAGGGAAGTCTTTGGGGGGGGGGGGGGAAGGAGGGTTTGAGGGGGGGGAAGGGGGAAAAATAATGAATATGATATGTTTTGATATGTTGTTATGTTGAAATTGCTAATAAAAACATTAAAAAAAACCTGGGCTCTTCTCCATGTAAGCAGATGCTTTGCCATTGAGTTACGGTCTTTTCTCTGACCAGATCTCCCTTGCTTTAAAAAAACCAAAAAGTTAACGCATAAAAAGAGTCTTGCTGGATCACGCAAACGGTGCTGAGGTTTTCTGCCATCTATCATCGAAGAGTAGGTAGGAATGTAAATAAAGATTGTTTGTGATACTGTGCGGCTGTGTTTATAGCCCATCGAAATGGCTACCTCCAGCATGTAGCATGCAGGATTTATTGCTTCCAAAGGCCTGTATTTAGTTTAATATGATGGTTAAAGTAAGACATAAACAAGCTGTCTTAGGGCTGGGCTGCTTTGCTGTGCAGCTGGAGATGAGGAACGGTTTAAACATTCCCGAGACACTGCATTTTGAAGCCAGAGCTGGATTAAGACCTTGAGAGCTTCTCAGCACTGAAGAGATTATAGTGCCCCCTGCAGATAGGTAATGCAAAATAAAAACTAAACACTAAAATAAAAAAGCTTTATTTGAAATGACACAGAACTTACATGTATGCTACAATTAAAATAACTTCTTTCCCCTCAGTTTTCTGATTTCCAAATTCAGGATAAGTTCATCGAAGTCACTTGACAAAACATGTCTGATTCCATATAGAGTACGGAAAGTGAATCAAGTTGGCCACATGGTTGCTCTCTGAGGAGTTTTTCCCCCCAGGTGAGGAAAAGAGTGTTCTGATGTACAGTTCTTAATCATCAACATCAGAAAATGATGACTATTTCTTCCGAAATAACAAATGTCAAATTCTTCCCCCCCCAAAATGGGGTTGCCCTTATTTTGCTGGTGCCCTGAGTGTGTGTTTAATCTGTTTATTGGGTAATCCAGCACCGTTTGAAGCATACCTGAAATGATTCAAGTTCTCTTAGGATAAGGTTACCAGATTTTTTTCAAAGAATCCGGGGACACTTTTTTTTTGAAAAGAGAAAAAAAAGTTATTTTTAACTTTATTTTTAACTATTTTTAACTTTTTCTCTCTTCCTTCTCCTTCTCCTCTCCTCCTTCTCCCTCCGTCAGCTCCAGGGTTTTCCTGGCCCTGGAGCGCCGCTGGGCAGTTGGCTGGGTGGCTGGGCGCTCTCGCTCCCGGCTCAATTTGGGTTGCGTGTGTGTGTGTGTGCCAGCAGTTCCCCCAGTTGACGTGCTGGGCATACCTGGTTCCCCCTTGGCAGTGGCAGTCTCAACAGCCCGGAGCCAGCCTG